TAAATTTTCTTTCTACCCTCTGCATCTGTTGCTTTTATGATTACATGGAGTTAATATAAACTAGGCCCAAAGTCCTCAGCTCGAGGCCAGATGCCATCTGGCAGCCCTGCTCGCAGCCTGGACTCCTCACCTGGAGCACGGTCATAAGGCCCTCTGCAGGTGTGTGGGTGCAGGAGGCCCGTGTGCAGGACGCGCCCCTGAGCCTCACGCCAGGCCCATGGGTTTTGTCCCCATGTCCTCAGGGGTGTCTGTGGGTGAGCGGTGGCAAGACGTCCTGCCTGTGACCAAGAAGCACAGCCGCGACCACATCCTCCTGTTCAACGATGCGCACTTCCTGATGGCGTCCCTGGGCGCTCAGGACCCCCAGACCACGCAGGAGCTGCTGACCACCCTGCAGGATGTCATTGAGTATGCAGAGGGGCCACGGCCCTGGAAGGCCCTGCTGCCAGGGTGGGGTTGCCTCCACTCTGCTGAGAGGGCAATGGGGTGCCGAGGGCGTGCCAGGGTGGGAGTGCCATGTGTTCCTGGTGTCAGTGCCACCTCCGGTCGGCACAGTTCTTCCCACTTTACAGAGGAGCAAACTAAGGCCAGAAGTTGGGGGCCCTGTCCAAGGCCACGTCACCAGTGAACAGGAGTTCAGCCCAGTTCGACTGAGCTGAGAGCCCTGTTCTCTCCCCTCCCCTGCTGCTGCTTCTCTGCCAACTCACCTGATCAAGGCAACTCCTGTGTGTCGGGCACAGTGCCCAGGGTACCGGGCTGAGGAAGAGACAGCCCCTTCCCTCAGGAGCCTGGGTCAGGCGGGGAAACAGATGTGCTGTGATGGGGGCAGCCTGCTGAGGGCACCTTCTTGGGCTGGCAGGTCCCCGGGGGAGAACTGTCAGCACCTCCTGGCCCGCGATGTGGGGCTGCCCCTGTGCCAGGCCCTGGTGGAGGCCCAGAACGGGAATCCTGACCGGGTTGTGGAACTGCTCCTGCCCATCCGCTACCGGATTGTCCAGATTGGAGGCAGCAATGCCCAGGTGAGCCCCGGCCTCAAGCCCTGCCAGCAGCTGGAGCATGAGCCCAGGTCCAGGAGCCCACACCCCAGCAGCCCAGTCTCTCCACGGGGTTGTTGCCCATGGTGTGGGAGTATCCTCATCTTTCACACCCCCCAGGAATTGGTCCTTGAGAGAAGGCTGGCCTGCAGTGGGTTGAAGGTGGGGTTGAGGTGGAGATGGGCGTCCCGGCCCTCCTCCCACGTTACAGGAGCCTAACTTGCCTGACTGACCTTCCAGAGAGACATCTTCAACCAGTTACTGATTCATGCGGCCTTGAAGTGCACCTCTGGCGTCCACAAGAACGTGGCCCGGTGAGTTCCTTGCTCATGTGCCAAAGCTAGCCTGGGGAAGGTTTCCGAGCATAGCTGCTCTCTCACACGGGGACTCCTCGTGGGCCTCCCGGGTGCCTTGAGGCTCTCATTGCCCTTGGCCTGAGGTGGTTCCCGCCTTTGAGGCTGTGAAGACCCAAGGCTACAGGGGCTTGGCTCTCCCTTGTTAGTGTGCTCAACTTGGCCAAAGGGGACCTGCTCCCCCACCCCCAGGCCCACCTTCCTGCCCTCCCCAGCCCACTCCTTATTCTAGCCATGCTGAGCTACAGTTACCCAAACGCATTCTGCTCTTTCAGGTCCCTAGGCCTTTGCATGTGCTGCGCCCTCTGCCTGGGACACCCTTTCTCCTTTTTCACCTGGCTGACGCCTACTGATCCTTCAGGCCTCAGCTCACGTTGTCCTCTCTGACTGCTGGGTCCCGGGACGGGTGGTGGGCAGGCAGACCCAGGCCCTGGCTTCGTGGAGCTCACCTCTCCTGTGGGAACTGACACTAAGCACTTAATCACACATACATAAACTGCCATGAGGGCAGGGCGTATTGCTCTGAGAGGCTGTGATGGGGCACTGAGCCGGCAGGGAGTCAGAGACGGAGGGTGCCCCATGGAAGTGACAGTTGAAGGCAGGCCTGAAACCTAGCAGATCCCACCAGGCTGCGGGTGGTCTGGTTAGGACGAGGGGCTGGAGGGGTGTGGCTGGAGGATTGGGGATGTCGGGATGGGGGCACCCCAAGAAGAAAACTCTGCCAAGCCCAGCCATTGCCAGCAGCCTTGGTAGTCCCACATCCCACTCAGTCGCCCCACATGGGGCTGCTGAGTTCTTGGCTGGCTCCTGCACCAGCCCGTGTGCTCCTGGGGGGAGATGTGACCCCCCTCCTTGTGTGGGTCCCCTGCCTCCCACTGGAACACCAAGGGGAGAGGAGGAAGAGAGGAGCCAAGGGGAGCCCAGTGGGCAGAATGGGTGTTGTGAGACGCGGTGAAGCTGTCACTGCCCATCTGGGGTGGCCTCTGCTGGGCTTTTGGATTGTGTGGAAAGCCCCAGGTCTAAGTGCAGGCACAGGCAGCCTGCGGTGGGCGAGACCCAGCTGCCCCGACAGTGTTTCCAAAGTGAGCAGTGCGGGTGTTGACGGCGCTGATGAAACTGGTGTGGACACTGTGTCACAGCCAAGTCCAGATGGACACACTGGAATGGGTTAAAACTCGAAAGCATCTTAGACATAGGCCTCTCGCTGTTCAGCCTTCCATGGCCATATGAAAAGCCACACACGTTTCTTTAGTGGTTGAGCCCCTTGGAGAGCTCCAGGCCGTGGTGCGGGTGAGAGTTGGCACCTCTGGTGGCAGCTGGGGTCAGGGGAGGTGGGGCCGATCGGACCGAGACGAGGGCTGACAGCTTGAGCAGGGGAGCTGGGGCAAGCGTGGGGTGGGGGGGATGGGGTCTATGCTGGGGGTGGGGTGCTGAGCAGCAGGGGGTCTGTGCTTGGGAGTGGTTGTGGGGGTGGGAACAGGCCGCCCAGGCAGCCTGGAGCAGACACCAACTGTGGAGGGGGAGCCTGCTGCTGTCAGGGCCCCTGCCATGGTGTCTGCACCTCAAGTGCCAGCCCCTTACCCCACAGAATCACTGTTGCCAGGTGTTTGGGGTCTTGGCCTTAAATGAAACTTGCTTTGTTTAAACTTGGGCTTTTCTTACACCGTCTCTTCCGCCGCTCGCTTTCTCGAACAATCTCAGGCGGGACTTCCCCTGGTCCCCCATAGATGTGCTCTACCCTCTAATCCCAGCACTCACTATGGCTGGAGGATGGGCCCCAAGTTCCTGAGGCAGACGAGGCTACAGGGATGTGCTCACCCTGAAATTCTTCTCACTTGAGGCATCACAGGGACGTTGTCAAAATGTTCTGCAAACACTGATGTCCTGGTTACACTACTGCTCAGAGAACGCTGGGCTCTGAAGTCCACACTTTCTCGTACTCACGCCTCCGCGCCCCCGCCCCCCCGCCCCCCTCGCCCCGGCCCAGCGCACCACCTTCTCTCCTGTTCCCGCCCAAGGCCAGGCCTCCTGCCTCTGGCCTCTTGTCCATCCTGTCCCCTCTGCCATGATCCCCTCTGCCATCATGCCGTGCCTTCTCTCCAGCAACCTGGGGAGGGGAGCGTGTTGCTCTCTGCCCACCTCAGCCCCAGCCCCTGTGTCCTGCCTTGGGGCTGAGGGACCATCGAGCCCCCACATCCTTCTAGGAGGTTCCATCACAGACCCTGTCTCTGTTTCCGCAGGAGCCTTCTGATGGAGCGAGACGCCTTGAAGCCCAACTCGCCCCTCACCGCGCGGCTCATGCGCAAGGCATCTGCCGTCCACCTCCTGCATTGAGCCAGGTCTGGCACCTCCCCAGCGGGCAGAGCAGCTGTCCACTGGTTCCGTAGGGTTAGAAACAGCTAGAGCCTGTTTGCTAGGCCTCTTATGGGGAATCTGGCTTTAAGCAGAAAGCCCTGTAACCAGCAGCGTTACAGGAAGGGGGAAAAATCAATCTTAAACATGATTCAGAATCTTCTTCTAATCCTTATTAGGGGCCGAGGTGCAGTTCTAAGCAGTCAGAACCAAGGTGGGTGCTGCTGGTTGCCAGTGCCCTGCAAATTCTGTTTTCCCAGGGCACGCTTACACCTATCTCCTGGTGGTTCAAGGGTTGGAGGTGGGGGTGGGGTGGGGACGGGCGCAGCTGGGGAGGAGTCTTCCACATAGCCCCCAGGCTGCCCCGGCATAAAGCCTCTCATTTTGTCTTCCTCATCATATTCTAGACAGCTTCTGTTGTCCCGTCTTTTGGGTGAGGGTACCCACAGCGGATAGGGACTTGCCCAGGGTCACAGCCAGTGGAGGCCCCGCTGAGATTCACCTCAGGCCCCTGTCTTTCCTGGGGGAGGGGACCCCACCTTGCTGCCTGGGACCTTGGCCCCCGGCTCTTGCCCCCAACGGCTCTTGCAGGCACAAGGACAAGAAGTGGCCCTTCTGCGGTCCCTGGAGAGAAGACTTTGAGCTTCCTGGAGGCTTTGGTGGCACAAATTTGGGCTCGTTGATCCTTTATTCTACACTGCAAATCATAAAGGGGCCTCGGGTGCCTGGTTCCCTGTCAACAATGACTTTAATCATACAAATGCACGTGCGTTGAGCCAGTACACCTTCTGGGTGAGAGCATGGAGCTCAGGGGTTACCCTGCTGTGGCCAAAACCGAAGCCTATGATGTGTGATTTTAACAAGATCTGAGCCAGTCCTATAAATGACACCTTGGCCTCCTGCTCCCCTGGCATCAGCTTGGCCCCGACATCCCTTATGAGCGAGCTGCAGATGTCGGTAGAATGCGCCGGCTTGGTCGTGCTGCCTGATGGGCGATCCCGACTCACAGATGTTTCTCAGGCTCCTCCAGTGCATCCTGACATGAAGGAGGGACTCACCGAGGCAGGGAGGGGGCAGGTCTCCTGGGAGGCAGCAGAGGCCTCCAAATCGATTAAGCAGATTCCTGGGATTAAAATAAATTAGTTGATTGGTTCCTTTGACTAATTGTTGCTGGGCAGGCACCTTTGAGCATCTCCCATGTGCCAGGCCTGGGCTGGGTCCTGGTGAGACAGGCTTCTCCTTGAACTTGAGGTGGGGGTAGGGCAGAGTGTCAAGAAAACGGATACTTACAATAGGATTTTGAGGGAGATGCCATCTCCACTCAGAAGCTGGTGACACTTCCCAAGGGGGAGCCTGCCCTCCATCTCGAGCTGTCCCTTCCTGCCGGTTGCCCTGACAGAGCCTGGTCACACCCTTCTCCTGCTTCTAAGCAAGACACAACTTGGCCAGGGAAGCAGGAACCCTGGTCCTTCCTCAGGGAAGCCCTCTGCTGCTGCCCTGCAGGCTGAGGGTGCCTCCTCTGTGCCCTGCAGCCTTCGGCACCTGCCCTCGCTATTGCACCTTTCTCCGGAGCTGTAACCTCCTCAGGTCAGGGTCAGCACCTGTCCTAGCATCACCCAGCACATGGCCTGCACTGAGCACCTGTCAGTGCATGTTGGTGAATGAACCCATGAGTGAATGCATAAACAAATGAAGCTGAATCCTACCAGGGGAAGGAAGAGGGTTAATCTACAATGGACAGGCTGACGTTGGACGAGAGGAGGAGGCCCAGAGAAGAGATGGATGAAGGCATCCTTTAGCGTGGCAGCGACAAGTGATTAGTAACTGGTGCTGCTTACTGTGCACCTACTGTGTGCTGACACGATACAGGTAGAGGGGCATCAAGAGTGAGTGTTGGGGACCCTCACCTCCAGCGGACACCCACAGGGCTATGGGATCCGACACTTGGGCCAAGAGCCCTTGAGTCTAGGGCCCTCTGGGCTTCTTGCTGCTGCAGTCGCCCTGTGGGGGTGAGTCGAGCAAGCCTGGGTCTTGGGACTGTGGGTGGAGCACAGACTGCACCAAACTGGCTGCTGTCTTCAGGAGGCCTGGCAGGTGGAGGGAAGCCTGGAGCTCCCAGGTTGCAGGACCCCAGAAAGGCATCCTGCCTGGGAGTGAGCAGGACCTCGGACAGGCATCTGGGAGACAACTCAACCCAGCACCCTCTTTCGAGCCCCTCTCTGTACCCAGGCCTGAAGAGGGGGCCACTCCTGCACCTCCCTGTTCCCTGAGCCAATAAGTTCTCTTTCTCTAGCCAGCTTGAAGCTTTGAGTTGTAACTCAAAGGTTCTTGACTGATACCTGCAGCTGGGATTTGCACCTGGGTGTGTGGTACCATCTCTCTTCAGTTAAGCAGGATCCTGAGCAAAAGACAAGGGAACTCAGAAGGGATCCCATGGCCAGAGGCTCAGGTGGGAAAGGCAGGTCTGGGGGAGCCAGCACTTCAGAGCCCAGTGGGGGTGAAGCAGGAGGCTGAAGGCTGCAGAGGGAGCCTCTAGATAGAAAAGAGGTGTTAGGGATGCCAGGATGAGCCGAAAGGGGATGCAAAGCACAGGCTGGGCTCCTTCAAGCTGCCAGACCCCCCACCTTACCCAGTTCTCACTCAGCTCTTGCCTGGTACCCAGCACAAGGCTGGGGGACAGCAGTGACTGAGACCCCAGCCTGCCCTCTAGGAGCTCACAGTCTCATGGGGAACTGGACTTGCGATCAGGAGTGAAGTGGGACCATCAACACAGGGTGATGGGTGTGGATGGGTGAAACTAGGGATGTGGGAGCCCAGAGGGAACCCCAGCCAGCCTGGAACCCTGCTTGGCGGAGCTCCTGGGGGATGACTGCCCCCTGGACAGCTCCCCACCGAACCTGCCCAAATAAGTAGCTCATCATAGTCCCTGAAAATGGTGCTCTCCCTCCAGAGTCCCAGCCTTCCGGGGGCAGACCCTGAGAATCATCCCAGGCTGCTGTTTCCTGCCCCCTCTTCCATCCACCAGCCCCAGATAATTAGAGCAACAGCTTCATACCCCCGTGCCCTCGGTGGAGCCCCTCATTTGACCCTCAAGCCCATGAGTTGGGTATTATTTATACCTGGTCCACAGTCCAAGGCTCAAGTGAGGTCTCCAGCTGCCGCTGATTGGCCACGTGCCAGTCCTCCATGTGGTACAGATCAGGGAGCTCCTGTTTGCCCCAGCACAGGCGCTCCCCCATGCAGACTCCATCACCTGGCCATTAGACCCTGCCTTGAGGCACACCCCTCCAACCTGCCCACCTTTGCTGTCAGAACAAATGCGGCTCCCCAGCAGGTGACAAAGCTCAGGCCAGGCTTCTGCCACACTCTGGCTGTGCTCAGGCCCTCATCGCTGGCCCGCACAGCCAGACAGCCTCTGCTGGTCCAGAAGCAGGAACCAGCGTGTCTGGTCACCCAGTGTCATCTGTGCGGTCCTCAGGGCAGGGACTGGGTTTTGTTACTGTGTTAGGAACTGACACACACTTCTTTACAAAGCGAGTAGATGCGCCTCTTTCATTTGGTCTTCACATCAACACCATAAGCTAGGATATTTTTTTTTCCTGAGGAAGATTCACTCTCAGCTAATATCTGTGCCAGTCTTTCTCTGTTTTGAATGTGGATCACTGCCGCAGCATAGCCACCAAGGAGTCATGTAGGTCCGCGCCTGGAACCGAACTTGGGCCGCCGCCAAAGTGGAGCGCCTAACTTAACCATTAGGCCAGGGGCCTCTCCTCCGTTTACAAACAAAGAGCTAGGAACAGAACCATGACCCCTGCCACACTAACTGCCCCAATGCCGAACCTGCAGGGACATGTACAGTGAGTCCTAACGACCCCCCAACCCTAAGCTGCGCGCTCACCGCAGGCCCGCGCCGAACCCCGGGCATGCGAGAGCTCACTGCGCCGCGTTCCTCCTCCTGTGTCCTCCGACTACAACCCCCAGAATGCACCGGGCGCGGCGACTTTGCGCCGCTCTTTCAAACCGGCCAATCCGCAGCCACGCCGGGCCCCCCGCGCCCCGTTTAAATCCGGGGCGGAGACGCGGCCGCCCGGGTGTCGTGGCCACTCGGGGTGAGGGTCTCACCGTGGGTCCGGGCTTGGGCTCCCCTTCGAGGGTGAGGAGGGCTGGGGCGGGCCACCCTCCTCGCGGGGGGTCCAGGGCGGGAGGGCTGCGCGCAGCTCAGACTGGGCCTGGGCTCTGGCTGGAGGCCGAGGGGAGCCCGGCGCTGCGCCCGGGCTGCAGTGAGGACGGGGCCGCCCGGGGGGAAACCAAAGCCCCCCGCAGCCCACCCGAGAGCTGGGAATTTTGTTGTCCGGGGCGTTCAGGCCTCACTCGGACCGGCGCCCCTTGGGGCTGCGTCGCGGAGGGTCTCGGGCCACCTCTTGGGTGGCCTCTGCCGCCCTCCTGCTCCCCGACGCGGCCGCGCTGCTCGCTTCGCTGTGGGGGGCGAGCCGGGTCTGGGCGCTGACACCTGCTCACTTCTGGCCTCGTCCTCCCTGCAGTGACTCCCTGACAGCTCTCGCCATGGAAGGAGGGGATGGCAGCGACGAGCCTGCCGCCAGCCAGGCCGGAGAGGCGAAAGGGGACGTTCCCGTGAAGGATGGTACGTCCTTGTTTGTGCGGCGCTTTGTTCAGGGAGCTCCGTGGAGATGAAGCTGGATGTAATGCTTCAGCGAGAGCTTACTCGTGTGTTTATTCATGGCCCCTGTCTTCAAGGAGTTTGCATCCCTCTAACGTCTTTGTTTTTCGGTTTCCTCCATCCCCCTTTGCCCCCAGTTTTAAGGTCCATCCAGCAGGGATTCTGACCGGCTTTGTTTACTGCAGCATCCCCTGTGTGGAGCACACTACTTGGCACTTCGTAGGCACTCAGATATTTGTGGAGTTGAATTTTATGCTTGCTTGCTTTCTTTGTTGCTGGTTCCTGTTTGCTAAGACTTGTTTAGGATCCTTGCGACCATGTCAGTGAGTGAGCCTGGCCTGTAACTTGCCTGTCTGGTTCCGGTGTTGAGGCGAGAGTACAGCCTCACAAAATGAGCTAACGGCCGTGCCCTCTTTTCTTTTGAAGTGCGTTGATATCCTTTTGTCCTTTGTTCCTCACAACACCCACACCAGGCAGATAGCCTGGGTCTCCGAATAGCCTTAACACTTCCATTCTGCAGAAGCCATCCTGGAGACTTTGGCAGTCGTCATTGCTTCTTCATCGTATCTAGGAAGGTATTTGCTGCCCCCCTCTCCTCCTTCCTGTTGCATCCTCCCTTTCAAATATCACCCCATTGCTGCTTCTTGAGGACTTTTTCCCTTCTGTCACCCTCCCTGAGTAGGCTTACTTTCTGCCTGTCCATTAGTTCATGCCCATCATTGATATACAAATACCTTCTGTAATTTCACTCGTCCCCAGATCCTCTGCTCCCTCTCCATTGCTCTGTGCTTCATTCAGAGGCAGACTTCAAGAGCTTTCTCTGTTTGTTTTGCTGTTTTGCACATCCCTCAACCCCTACCAACACCTTCTGCCCTCACCACTCCACTCAAGCTGCTTTCATCAGCCACTGACGACATCTGTGTTGCGAAATCTACTGTCATTTTTCTGTCCTCTTTTAATCAACCTCTCAGTAACATTCGACCTTCTCTGCTTCTGGAAACTTCTCTTCCTTGGCTTCTGAGGCATCTTGGTTTTCCTTCGGCCTCCTTGGCTGGTGTATCTCCATCTCTTTGCAGGCTCCTCTTTCTCTACCATCTTCTGGAGCTCATCTTCCCCAGGACCTGGTCTGGGGTCTCTTTGCACTTACACCCTAGGGGCTCTCAGGCATTCCCATGGCTTTCAACCCCATCTGCTTTCTGCTGGTGCCCACATTTTGTCTTGAGCTCAGTCTCTCCTCTGAGCTCTGGACTTGTGTATTCACCTGTCTGTTTGGCATCTTCACATGAATGTCTTGACCTCAAACTCAGCTTGTTCCCCCGCCACCACATACTTAGCCTGCTCGTTGTCTTTCTCATGTAACTAAATGACCCCTCCGTTCACCCAGCTGTCCAAGTTGTGAAGCTGCCACATTCATTCAGTCATCAATTACTGTCATTTCTGCTTTCAGAAGATGTTTTGGAACCATCTACCTCCTTCCAACTCCACCCGAATGCCACCACCTTGGTCTTAGCCACATTAACTCACTTCCACCTACTTGTATATTTTGCACTTTAGCCAGTGTATACCTTTGTAATTTCAATAGATATTGCCTGCTTCCTTTCTGATACACTCTACACAGCAACCAGGGTCATCTTTTAAAAACACAAGTTAAGGGGCCGGCCTGGTGGCATAGTGGTTAAGTTTGTGCACTCCACTTTGGTGGCCTGGGGTTTGGATCCTGGGCACTGACCTACACACTGCTCATCAAGCCATGCTGTGGCAGCATCCCACATAAAAAAAACTAGAAGGACTTACAACTAGGATGTATAACTATGTACTGGGGCTTTGGGGAGAAAAAAAAAAAGAGGAAGATTGGCAACAAATGTTAGCTCAGGGCCAATCTTCCTCACCAAGAAGCATACCTTAAAAAATAATAATAATAAAATAAAAGATTTAAAAGCACAAGTTAGATCATAACACTCTTCTGCTTAAAACCCTTCAATAGCTTCCTGTGGCATTTGCATAAACCCCTCTGGGATCTGACACTACCTGCATTTCCACCTCCAGCTATTCCAGCCTTTGGCCAGTTTCTTGGACACTTTGTGATTTCCTCAGAGGTGTCCCCACCTCCACGTTGGCCTCTTACCACACTGCCCTTCACTCAGTGTTCCCACTAGACAGTGCACTCCCCACGGAGCACCGTTTACCCCCTGTCGGCCTGGCACCTCGTGCAGGGCGTGGCAGTCACATGTTTGCAGAATGGACAAGTCAGCCAGCCCACGGTCACTCGGAGCCAGTCACAGAGCCTGGAGTGGAAGGCTTTTTCCGTGACTCCTGATCCAGGATTCCTTTTTCCACACCAGACAGTTGGACATTTCTAGAAGTGCCCTATAAAACTGACTTCCTCAGTTCAGACATGTAAGAAGTGAAATCTGTCTCCTTCTCCTCTTTGTCCCTGAGCCACCCATTTGCCTCCTCCCGAGGCCATCGATGTCATCGTCTTTTAGGTGTTCTTCCAGACTGACTTTGTGCACGTGCAAGCCCATTGTGTACAATGTCGCTCGGTTTCCCTCTTTTTATATGGTGTATAGAACCCTGTCCTGCATCTCTTTTTTGTGCCTGACTAGTCTTGATGATCTTTGTTTATCAACATATGAAGAGTGTTACCATTCTTTTTTGCGCCTAAATAGTGTTTCTGTGGTGTTGTCCTGTAATTTATCTCGTCTGCTCTGGGTAGACATTTAGGTTGTGTCTAGTGTCTTGCTGTCACAGATGCTGCTGCATTAAATAACATCGTGGGTGTCTGTAGGATTCCTTCGCAGGAGTAGACTTGCTTGTTAAAGGGAACGTGCCTTACTTTGGTAGGCACTGCCGGTAGAGCGTAGTAACGTCCGCCTCCCCAGCGGCGTGTGGATTTGCTCTTTTCCTCACAGCCTTGCCTACAGTTTATCAGACTTTTTGAGTTTTGACAATCTAATAGCTAAAAAATGGAATCTCAAGGTAGGTTTATTTTTCATTACTTGTATTTTTGTGTGAGGCTGAACTTCCTGTCATATATTTAAGAACATTTCATTTCATGTTCCGTTCCCATCCTTTGTGCATTCTTCCATTATGTTGTCCTCTTAGCAGTTCGTAGGCGCTGTTCATGCATCGGCCTTGGTGACGTGAGCTGCACGTATTCTTTATTACTTTTAACTTTGCTCATGGTGATTTTTTCTTTTTTTTGGTGTGTGGGTGGGTGTGAGGAAAATTGGCCCTGAGCTACCATCTGTGCCAGTCTTCCTCTATTTTGTGTGTAGGATGCCACCACAGCAGGGCTTGATGGGCAGTGTGCAGGTCCACGCCTGGGATCCGAACCTGCGAATCCCGAGCCACAGAGGTGTTGCCCGTGAACTTAACCACTACGTCACTCGGCCAGCCCCTTGCTTCTGGTGGTTTTTGCCTTGCAGAGATTTAAAACATTTTTATGGGGGCCAGCCCAGTGGCTCAGCAGTTAAGTGCACACGTTCCGCTTCGGCAGCCCAGGGTTCGCTGGTTTGGATCCCGGGTGTGGACATGGCACCGCCTGGCAAGCCATGCTGTGGTAGGTGTCCCACATATAAAGTAGAGGAAGGTGGGCACGGATGTTAGCTCAGGGCCAGTCTTCCTTAGCAAAAAGAGGAGGATGGGCAACAGATGTTAGTTCATGGCTAATCTTCCTCAAAAAAGAAAAAAACAAACATTTTTATGTATTAGACTATCAGTCTTTTATGTTATGGCTTCCACTTTGGTGTCTCAGACCTCTGCGTTCCAGGTTATAAAATAATTTTTTTTTTTTTTTTTTTTTGTGAGGGGAGATTGGCCATGAGCTAACATCTGTTGCTAATCTCCCTCTTTTTTTTTTTCTCTCCCCAAAGCCCCAGTACATAGTTGTCCATCCTAGTTGTAAGTCCTTCTAGTTCTTCTATGTGGGATGCCACCACAGCATGGCTTGATGAGCAGTGTGTAGGTCTGCACCTAGGATCTGAACCAGAGATCCCTGGGCCACCAAAGCAGAACACGAGAACTTAACCCCTTGGCCATAGGGCCGGCTCCTAAAATTATTTCCCCATGGTTTCTTCTTGTTCCTTTAGGGTTTCATTTTTTTCAGTTAAGTCTTTGACTTATTTGGAATTTGTCCTGGTATGGTGTGAGGTATGGCTCAAACTTCATATATTTTTTTCCCCAAAGGGGTCTCTCTATTTATCTCAATTATTCGTTTTTTCCTTTTATTTGACATGTTACTTTTATGATATACTAAGTTTTCTTTGTATCCATCTGTGTATGTCTTGTTAGGTTTGTTCATAGGTAGTTTGTATTTTTTGCTGCTACTGTAAGTAAGATATTTTCTTCCATAGTATTTTCAAACTGTTCTGTGTAGATATGAAAGCTGTTGATTGCTGTGTAGTAATTTTGTCCTCAGCCATCTGCTTTTATTCTTTTACTGTTTGTAATAGTTTTCATTTGATTTCCCTGTGTCTGTAATCATAGCATGTATGCACTGTGGTCATTTTACCTCGGCATTCTTTCCTTTGTCTAATTGTGTTGGTGATGCGTCCAGAACAATGTTAAGAATTGTGGTAACAGTAGACGTCATTACCATGTGCTGGGCTTGGATGGAATTTCTTCTTTAGTTCTCCATCAAGCCTGATGCTGGCTTGTGGCCTGATTTACATGCAGATGGTAGACCTTGGTGCTGTTCTTCAGTATTTCTCTGTTTTGTTTTTCTCCTGGGTTCAAGATAGAATTGTTCTTCCCTGCCGGTTGGAGTTGGGCTTGGCTCAGGTGGCTGGAAAGGCCAATGAAATGGAAATGTTGTGATATGTGTCACTTCGGGATCTGTAAGAACCAGTGTGGAATTTGCTCTTTCTCCTTTCTTCTGCCATGAAGACCAGCAGTGTTGCCCATGGTGGAAGCCCCATCACCCTGGATTCTGGGGTGAGGCGGATGTGAAACAGGGCCCCAGCCTGTTCTCGGCAGACGTCGAGTTCGAGTGGAAATACTGCTTTGTTGTTAGAAGCCACTTGTGATTTGGGGGTTGTTTGTTACTTCAGCATGTTAGCCTATCCCAACTGATAAAATATATTTTCTCGTGGCTTTAGGAGGAATGCTTCCGATGGTGTCCCATTAAATGTCATTTTGGCTTTTGGGTTGAGATGGATACTTCCTTAAATGATAAAATATGTCTGTTACTTTTTATGAAGAGCTTTTAAAGTCAGCAGTCTATGTTGCATTTTATCATCTGCCTTTTCAGTGTCTGTGGGGACAATCCCACGGCTTTCCCTGTAGGTCTAGTAATATATTGATTATGTTACTAGATAGCATAAAATTAAACCATCCTGAAGTCCTGGATGAACTTCACCTGGTCATGACAGATGACGATTCTTTTCATGTGTTGCTGGGTTTTGTTTGCTGGTATTCCTACTTAGGAGTTTTGTGTTAATTGAGACTGATCTGTAGCTTGCTTTGTTTAGCAAACTTGATAGGCTTTTGGTATGGTTATGCTTACTTGATGAGTAAGTTGGAAGGTTTCTTTTTTTCTGTCCTTTGGAGCAATATAGATAGTTTTGGAATGATTTATTCCTTAAAGATTTGGTAGAATTATCCTATGAAACTATCTGGGACTTGTGCTTTTTTGGGGAAGAATAACTCTAAATTTGTTCAGTTGTTTTATAATTGGACTATTAAGATTTTTTCTCTCGGAGTCAGTTTTATAAATAAATGAATTTAAATAAATAGGGGCTGGCCCCAGGGCTGAGTGGTTAAGTTCCTGCGCTCTGCTTCGGTGGCCCAGGGTTTCGCCAGTTCGGATCCTTGGTGTGGACATGGCACTGCTCATTAGGCCATGCTGAGGTGGCATTCCACATGCCACAGCTAGAAGGACCCACAACTAAAATATACAGCTGTGTACCCGGGGGCTTTGGGGAGAAAAAGGAAAGAAAAAAAAATTCTTTAAATAAATACAAGAAATAAATTCTATATTCATTTCAGCCAAGTTCTTAGGTTTATGTGCATGGAGTTAAGCAAACTAGCTTATGAATTTTTTAATTTCCTTTATCTCTGATTATTTCTCTTTCATTTGTGCTTTCTACCTTCTCCTTGATTAGGTAATTAGGACTAATTAGAATATTAGTATATAGTCATGCATCACTTAATGACAGGGACTCATTCTGAGAAATGCGTTGTTAGGCGATTTTGTCATCATGCAAACATCATAGAGCGCACTTACACAAACCTAGATGGTACAGCCTACTCACACCTAGGCTACATGGTACTAATCTCCTGGGACCACCGTCGTGTATATGGTCTGTCATTGATTGAAAAGTAATGTGGATGTCACAACTAGAAGGACCCACAACTAAAATATACAACTATGTACTGGGGGGATTTGGGGAGAAAAAGCAGAAAGAAAAAAAAAGAAGAAAGAAGATTGGGAACAGTTGTTAGCTCAGGTGCCAATCTTAAAAAAAAAAGGAAAATGAAAAGTAATGTGGCACATGACTGTATTTTCGAATTTTATATTTTTGATAAGTATGCAACATTGTTTATTAGGATCAATCAAATAAGATATGATTTGTGAAAGTGCTGTATGAACTTTGCAGTATTGAAATGTCAGTTGAGTGCATTTTGGTAAACATTTGCTAAGTGTCCAGGCCCTTGGTTGGCCACTGGGGCATTTGGGAGAGTGTTAGACATTTGCTATCTTGGAGGAGCTTATAGTCTAGTTGGGGCCCGCAGAAGGATCAAGGGACATGTACAGAATAGTGAGGCCAGTACAGTGATAGAGGTCAGGTCTAGGTGCTGCGGGAGCCCTAGGGAGGGGTGGGAGTGGAGTGGGGTGAGGGAGCTAGAAGAGGGAGCAGTTTCCCAGCAAAGGGACCCATTAACCTGGAGCCTGGGGTCTGTTGGAGGGAGTCAGACTTGTAAACAGACAGGGCTGGTGAAGGTACTATGGTAGAAATGTGCACAGGGGTACAGAGTGCAGTTTTAGCTGGGGGTCCAGGATGGACTCCAAGAAGAGATAGCAGTCAGCAAATGTATATGGAGTCCCTACTGTGCCTGTGAATAATATTGAATTTGCTTTTGAAAGAGGAATAGGTGTTTTGTAGTTTGTAAGCAGGGAATTTAATTCTAGGGAAGCTGAGGCGAGTGATCTTTTGAAAATATTCAATACCTGAAAATGACTTACCTAGTCTTGAAAAGCTAGTTAAATGACTCTGAATGCATTTTAGAGTATATCTTAAAAATAAGGACTTAGGCTTTTGGGGCAGCTTAGCAAACAGAATGGCTGATGCTATTTTAAAAAGAAATGGAAAAAAATAATCTAGGTTCCCCTATGAAAATGTGACTATTAAAATAATGATATCTTACACTTTGGGGAGTGAAATTTTGTAATAGTTTTGATTGCTATAGAGACTGGTAATGTTTCCTCTTTATCAGGCCCAGCCCTAAAATAACAGTGGGCTTTTTTCTCCCCAGACATTCTTCTTTTGGCTGATGAAAAATTTGACTTCGATCTTTCACTGTCTTCTTCAAGGTAAACACATGGGTTTTCTTCCCTTGCCTTGGGCATAACCACGGTCAGTGAAGTCTTTCATTTAAATGCCAGTGTTAATAATCTTTTTCTTTTAAAATAGTGCAAATGAAGACGACGAAGTCTTTTTTGGACCTGTTGGGCATAAAGAAAGATGTATTGCTGCCAGCTTAGACTTAAATAATCAAATTCCCGAAGAGCCTCTTCTGCCAGCGTCTGAAAGCCACTTCACTTGGAGTCCTCTCACTGGGGAGAAATTTGTGGAAGTTTATAAAGAAGCTCACTTACTGGCCTTGCAGATAGAAAGCAACAGCAAAAACAAGGTGGCCCCAGCTGCCAAACCTGAAGACCCTTGGAGCCAGGGTGTGGAAAGATTCATACAGGAATCAAAATTAAAAATAAAGCTCTTTGAGAAGGGAAATGAAATGAAGAAAAGCCCCAAGTCACTTAAAAGGGAGACATACTACCTGTCAGACAGCCCCTTGAGGGGACCGCCCCCCTCGGGCACCCAGCCCCCCTTGGGCGTGGCCCTGCACAGTGCTCCTGCCCAGGCCAGCCTCGCCCCAAGGCAGGGCCCACCACACTCTTCTCATTCTCCTTTGCCAGTGGAACCAAGTACCGCTCATCCTCCAAACCAGGCAGTGACTCAGAAAAAGGCCATCAGCAGATTGGTGCCACCCCGAACTTTGTCTCTTAGAGGGAAAAACGTTCACTTGGCCACGGAGAAGGTAGACATCACCACATAACAGAACATTTGTCTGGGGAGCTAGACGCTCCCTTGCTTCTTAGGCCTCTCGGTTTATGCCCTGTGATGGGCCTTTATTTGAGTTTCCATTGTATGGGGAGAAACTTGGAAATGCAGCTGCTCTGAGAGCTCAGAAGCGTAGGACTGAGAAGTCCTTGAAGAGCAATAACCACGCGGGAGCTGGGTTTGGGGTGGATGTGGGCGGGGCTGCCTTCCTACTCTGATGACTTAAAAACACTTCCTCTTAAATTCCGTTGAAATTTTCCCTTTTTGTTTTGTTATAACACGGGACGTTCCATCCATTAGGGATTTCATTTGCATTAATAAGCAACTTCTTCTAAAAATTCCCCTCGAATTTTAGCATCTAGTCATCCTCCTTAACTGTGACTTAGTTTAGATTGCTTTCCTCCCAGGCATTAAGTGAATGAGCTGTCCTGGGAAGTGGCGGTGGACAGGTATGCCTTTGAGGTGTGGTCATCCAACCCTGGGAAGCTCAGGGTCCTAGAGGCTTGTGGGGGCAGGCACTCGGGTAGGAGAAGGTGATGTCAGATGATGGCTGCTTCCAGGTTTTCCTGATCTGGCTCTGTGCTCAGGGGAGGGGAGGCAGCAGAGAGGCCCTGGAGGTTGGAGGTTGGAGCTCCTACTATCAGAACCCAGAATTGAGCTGAGCTGAAAGTGCATCTGTCACACAGAGAGAACCCTGGACCAAGGAGGCACGCTGGCCGTCACTTCCCCTAATTAGCTGGGTTTGTTTTAACCATACAAACTCCTTTTTCTGGAGACCATTCGGATGTAAATTTCCAAGTGATGTGTCTAGAATGAGAGGAACATGGGTCTTGTGTGTAACACATGGACTCAGGGCAGGGACTTGTGTGTAACACGTAGACTCAGGCAGAGGTGTGTGTGTGTAATATGTGGACTCAGGGCAGAAGTTGTATAATTTTGGCTATTCTGGGTCCTTTTGTTTTCTGGGTACTGGGGAGTGATCTGGTGCCAGAGAGCTGAGCTTTTGGTCAGTGCAGTGTTAGCTATACAGCTAGGCTGCATTTTGAGCTCACTTGGGAACCCCCCACCACATCCCACCTTGTGGGAAAACTCATTCACTTCTGGAATGACTCGCTGGCACACCCTCACACGTGTGAGGTCCCCTCTAGAAACGACTAGACCACTTGATTGTGCTGTTTAGAAATGTGCTCTCAAGACAGCTGCTAGGACGGCTGTAGTATGAAGAGAAACAAACAATGAAAGTTAGGATATGGAGAAATTGGAACCCTCCTGCACTGCTGATGGGCATGTGAAATAATGCAGCCACTGTGGAAAGCAGTTTGGCAGTTTCTGGAAAAGTTAAACATAGAATTACCATGTGACCCAGCAATTCCACACTTTGGTCTTTTCCTAAGAGAATTGAAAACATGTGTCCACACAAAAACCTGTGCACCAATGTCCATAGCGGCATTATTCTAATAACCAAAAAGCAGGAACAACCCAGATATCCATCAACTGATGAATGGATAAAATGTCTATCCGTACCACAAAATATTTTTGGCAACAAGGAAATTCATTACTGATACATGCTAAACATGGATGACCCTAGAAACACTATGCTCAGTGAAAGAACCCAGAAACAGAAGGTTTCGTACTGTATGACCCCATTTATACGAAGTGACCCTAATGAGAAAATTATGTCATAGAGACAGAGAATAGGTTAGCGGTGGACTGGACTGGGAGGTTGAGGGAATGGAGGGTGACTGTTAATGGCTGTGAGTTTCTTTTAGGGGCAAGAAAAATGTTCTGAAATTAGATTGTGATGATGGTCGCACAACATAACATACAAAACCACTGTGGTGTACACTTTAAAATGGTGAATTTTTTGTGATGTCAGGTATATCTCAATTTGAAAAATGATGTAAAGGAAAGAGTTACCTTCGTCTTTATGACTTTATGAACTTCTCTTTCCTCTCATTGAACTCTCTGTGGATTAGTTCCGTGAATGCCCTTGTACCTAAATGTCTGGAATTTATTCTTTGTTTGACTCTGACGGCCAAAGAAAAATGGCTTTCAGTACTAGACAAAGAAGAGTGATTGCAACTGAGCAGCCTCTCCAGTAGAGGGAACGACCATTTAATGAGTGATTCCTTTCTGTGCAGCATTTTGAAATTTGTGTAACTAGAAGCAGTTTCCTCATTATCCTTACGTAAGAGTCCTGACTGAGGAATAGCTTTAGAGGCTCTCGCTCCTGTAATCATCTGTCTTGATCCTTTTTACCCTGTCTTTAATGAGGAAGCAGACTCCATCATCACTTTTGTCTGGTGATTTGGTAGAGGAAGTGAGCCGCTGTGTTCCCTTCGGTCTCGTTGCTGAACGAGGAGCATTTTTAGCGTTGGGAGGATAGATGGTGCCTGCAGTTGCGTTAAGTTGAAGCCTTCGTGTGTCTGTACATTCTTAAAAACCAGACAGTTCTCACATTTAAATTTAAAATCTTTCAGCTTACGAAAGAGATACCAGCTAATCCCTGCAGTATGAAAACCCTAAATGAAAAGGAATCCCACAGGGACGTGCGCCCTGACAAGCCCAGCACTGCCCAGGATGTCACCAGCCTGCCAGCCAATGGAAGCTACTTGGTCCAAGGCAAGCGATCGCTCCCTGTTCCAAGCAAGGTGGGTTGGCTGGGGCCGCAGGGGGGCTGTGGCTTATGAGTGAAGGGAAATAAGGTGGCAGCTTTGTATGCATGGGATGTGTCTTTTGATAAAAATCAGGGTTAGGAAAGTTGAAAATATGATCCCATGAGAAGCGGCTTGTCGAGATGCAAAGAACGGGCCTGGCGTGTGCTGCCGGCTGGCTTCTGGCCTCTGCCACTGGGAGCTGTGTGAGTTGCAAAGAGTCAACTTCTCTGAGCATGAGTTTGTCTGTGATGGCAGAGATGCTCTCTGCTCCCCTCGCAGGGTCCTTGAGCAGATGAGATGGGACGTCAGCGCATTAAACACTGCAGCTCCTCACAGGCAGAGAGGCTACCGCCCACATCTCTGCCATTTATTTTCCCGAATTGGTGGTCAAACTGGGCTGTGTATACTTCTTGAAATTGCCAAAATCTGGGCCCTGCAGCTACTGACTCAGCAGGCCTGGGTTGGGGCCCCAAAATCTGCATTGCAGCAAGCTCCCCAGGTGTTTCTCATGCAGGACTTTGAAGATTACACTTTGAGAAGTACTGCTCAACCTTTTTCTTCTTTAAATTCAAGATGATAATTATTAAAAACTGCTTTAAAACTCTTTTGCAGAAATAAGTAATGGGTACATAATGAAATCTTTGATGACTCTGGTTTTTAACGTTTTGTTCCAGTTGGGGCTGAAGAAAACCCTGTTAAAACCACCTGGTTGTGCTGGCAGTCTTGCAAGAAAGTCCTCGTCGTCGGGCAGTGTTTCGTGCGTGACGTCCAGTGCGTGTGCTTCTCCAGCAGCAGGCAAAGGTAAGGCCGGCCAGCATCTGTGGGCTCAGACCACACCTAGCCAGCTGAGGCCTTGAATGCTGTCCATTCCTCTGAGACTTTTCACAGAACCACTTAGGGTCAGCAGAAGCTTCTGGAAGGCTTGCTGTGTCTGGGCGGGGGGAGACTGCGGACCCCTCAAGGTGCTTCCGCTGCTCTGAGGAGAGGCATGCTAAGATAGGCGTTTTTAGTTTAGGGTGGCCCAGGCAGTCACACAGGAGGCGAACGCTCCAAGTGCCTTGCGGACACAGACAGGCGCTGAGACCAGCTGCAGCGGAGATGTAATCAGGCACAGGTTTTTAGATGGGGCTGTTGGAGATGACTTAGGGCATATGACCCTTGTGACTCCTGCACGTTTGTTTAAATCCACATGCCCAAACCCTTTTAAATCCAGGCTACCTTTTAATCTTACCAAGCCAAGGATGCCATCTGGTGGTAAAGAGAAGAAGCCTTCATAGGCTGGAGGGAGAGGCGTTGTTTCCTGCTCTTAAGGACCAAGCCCTCTTCACATTCTCTTTGCTCTGTAGACTGCCTGCAGTCCAGGCAGCGTGCTGTGGGTTGTGTTCGCTAAATGTGAGAAGTGTGAACTCTGGAGTCAGCCTGATCTGACTGGGAATCCTGACTGCCACCTGGCGATTAAGAGAACTTAGGTTGTTTCCATATCTTTACAAACCGAGGGGACCGTGCCACCCTTGCAGTGTGCTTGTGGGCGCTGGAAGAACTGTGCTAAGTGCCAGTCACGTCTCTGGCGCATGGCACGTGTTTGGTGAAAGGAAGGAAGTTCCTTTACGTTAGGTGTTGTGAGTGTGCTTTGCTGTGTTAGTTCATGGCATCAGCACTGTTTTCGTTTGTGATTTCTACATTCCTACCTCTGGGAAAGGTTGAGACAGATTGCATGGGGCTTCTGGTATGTGTATATTCCTCTCTCGTCCATAGCAGAATCACTGGGGTTGGATATGATAGTGTGTGGGGAGGAACACTGTAAGACTGTTAGGCACTGAAGAATATGAGCTGTGGCATTAGGCATTCTCTTAGTTTTCTTTAAGAATCTTTTACCAGATTGACTTACGTATAGGGTATATTGGCAGCTGAGTATTTTCACCCTAGTTTATCTGCTACTCTGTTTTAAGTAGCACTCATGATCGATATGACCCAACCTCCCTGTAATTTAAGGGAACCAACCAGTAATGATTGTGTCTTCTCTCCCTGTCCCCTTCTCACCTCCCTGACTGAGCAGGTGGGGCAGGACTAGACTCTCCTCTCCTGTCCTCTCAGCACGGGTAGACTTCTGCTGCTGACGTCGGCAGTGAAGCTCGGAGAGCTTGGGTTCATGTGTACTTATGTGCATCTTTGTCACTGTGTCCGAATTAGCTCCTTAGAACACACCCAGCTAACCCTGAGGGACCTGGGGTGTCCTGGATGTGAGGTGTTGCCTGGTGGACACAGAGAATATTGTTCCTATGTCATAGATTTTTCTTACGTGGAAATCATCATGATGGAAATAATTTTTCTTCACTTGAAAACATTTTAACGTAGATCTGCTAAGGATAGTATATCTTGGAGGCGTTTGTTAAATAACTTCATAATTTAAAAATAACATAAGCTTGAGTGATAACCAGATTTTGTGTGTCTCCTCTTTCAGCTAAATCAAGTGAACTTCCAAGTATTTCTGCAGATAGTTCCCGGCCTCTGTCACACACCAACCAGTTAGGCAGAACGGGACCTGCCGTGTCACGGCCATCTCTGCAGCCTGGCCCTGCCGGTGTGTCCTGCAGGCAAAGCAAGTGGGCTGAGGTTGCTGAGTTGACAGCTCTTGCCCAACCCCAGACTCCAGAGCAGGGAGGCCCAAGGCCAACCTCTCATTCCAGTCTGTCACAGTCTTCTCAACGGAATACAACTGGGAGTACAAGAGGACGAGATTCCTTTCTGAATTCCAAGACAGTGGTTATGCCTACTCCTACAAATCAATTTAAAATTCCTAAGTTTTCTACTGGTAAGTAATGGATAAATTTTAGTGTGTTTTTAAAATATTGAAGAAATTATATTTAAAGTTAAAAAAATTGTTAGCTTTGGTAATGGTGATTTCTTCACTTTCTTTTTTCTTAAAGCACTTTAAATGTCTTCTGGCTCATGTTGTTTTGGAGGAGAAGTCAGTGGTTTTCTTATCCTACATTCACTCCCCTCCGTATAACATATCATTTGTTCTCTGGCTGCTCTTCAGTTTTCTCTTATTTTCAGCATTTTGATGTAGCTTTCTTCGTGTTTATCTTGCTTGGGAGTCCTTGAGCTTTTTTGATCTGTGGGTTAATATTTTTAATCAAATCTGGGAAAAATGTGGCCATTATTTATTCAAATATTTTTTCTTGCTTCCTCTCATTTCCTGGGACTCTAATTACATGTGTTATAGGGCATTAAAGCTCTGTTCTGTTTTTTTCCAGCCTCTTGTCTTCTGCTTTAGTTTGGATAGTTTCTGCTGTCATGTCTTCAAGTTCACGTATCTTTTCTTCTGCAGTATGTCTAATCTGCTGTTAAGCCCATCTAGTTAATTTTTCATTTCTGACATTGTAATGTCCCCATTTTTGTCCTTGTGCTGTTTATGTTTTCCTTTAAATTCTTGAACATACTTATAATGATTGTTTTAAAGTCTGTTTCTTCTTCTAATTCCATCTTCCCTGTCATTTTAGGGTCTGTTTCTCTTGACTAATTTTTTCCTGGTTATGGTCACATTTTCCTATTTCTTCACATGTTTAATTTTTTATTGCCCTCTAGACTTTGTAAATTTTTTTTTTTCTGAGGAAGATTAGCCCTGAGCTAGCATCTGCTGCCAGTCCTCCTCTTTTTGCTGAGGAAGACTGACCTTGAGCTAACATCTGAGCTCATCTTCCTCTACTTTCTACATGGGACGCCTGCCACAGCATGGCTTGCCAAGCAGTGCCATGTCCACACCCAGGATCTGAACCAGTGAACCCCAGGCCCCCAAAGTGGAACGTGTACACTTAACCACTGCGCCACCGGGCCAGCCCCAGGACATTGTAAATTTTACATTTTTGAACGTCTGGATTTGGTGTCTTTGAGAAGCTGAATTTTGCTTTGGCAGGCAGTTAAGTTTGCCAGTCAACTTGATCCTTTTGAGGCTTCTTTTTAAGCTTTGATGGGCGGGTCCTGAATAGCCTTTACTCTTGGGACACTCCAGCCCTGTCATTCACATGTGGCCTTTCCAAGTCCCTACTAGTGTGCCATGTGTTCACAAGGTCTCCACTCTGGCTGGTGGGACGTGAGTGTTTCCCAGCCCTTGTGAGCAATGGCGGTTTTCCCAGCAGTTGTTCTTGTCTTGGCCTTTCAGCATCCCGCCCTGCATGTGTGCTGCTGCTTACTGTGCAGTGGACACAGGGTCCCTGTCAGACTGCTAGAGCTCCTTCTCTCTGTAGCTCCCTCCTCCCTAGTACTCTGCCCCTCAAATTCCACCTTCCACAGCCTCCCGGGACCCTGGTCACTGTCTCCTCAAATCAGTGAGACTGCCCAGCTCCCCTTGGGCTCTTGCCACCTGCCCCAGCATTCTGACAGGGCCACCAGGCAGAGAGCCCAGCATGGTGTCTGGCAGGTAGTGGGTGGGTGTTTGGTCACAGTTAATTAGTCTAATAAATTTGTAAACACAGAAAATTGTGCAAAGCTGATTTAAGGGAGAGGGTAGCTCTGGCCTCCTCCCTCAAGTTGATGGTTTCTAGGTGGCTTGAATATTTTGAGGTTAGCAGCATTGCCAGCCAGTACAGTTGGCCTTTAATGCCAGAAAACCTCATTCTGAGTTACTGCTCATGTAAAGATGAGCCATTTTATTGAGTGTCTTCCAGCACTAGGCACTCTTTTAGGTGCAGGGACTGTAATGATAAGACAGATTCTACTCTCATGGAATTTACATTTCAATAGTAAAAGATAAGAAATGTTATCAAATGAGTATACTTTGAGATCATAACTATAATGAAACGAATGAAGGATGATGATATATGAATAAAGAGGTTGATGTCATAGTGACTGGTGTGTGTAGGGGAAGAGTTTAGGTAGAGGGGTCCTTACACCTAAGATGGTCAGTGAAGGGCTCCCCTCAGGAGGTGACATGGAGTTGAGGTCTGAACCTTGGGAAGAAAGGAGGCAGCCATTAGAAAAGCCAGAAGGAGAACATTCCAGGCAGGAAATGGCAAGTGCAAATGTACTGAGGCAGAAAGATGCTTGACAAATTCTGGAAATGGCACAAAGGTAGGAATGTAGTTATTGTAGTTAGGATGAGATTCTGACATAAGCCCAAAGTAACATTGATTTTAATCAAGACAGATGTTTACTTCCCTCTCACGTAAAGTCTGGGTAGACATTCCAGAGCTGGTATGGCGTCTTCCATCTTGTTTCGCCATGATTAGCTTCTTTCCCTCATGGTCTGGTATGGCTGCACCAGCTCCTGCCCTCATACCTACCTGCAGGAAAGATGGAATAGGTGAAGAAGAACAAATCTCTACCTTTCAAGGAGACTTACTGAAAGTCGTGCAAGCCACTTCCATTTATGTCATTACTCAGGACTTAGGTGACCACACTTACCCACAAGGGATGCCAAGACATGCTTTTTAATCTTATACCCAGCTAAAATTTCTTAGTAAGACAAAGAGGAGAGTGGATAGTAGAAAAAAACTCGCAACCTCAGTTAGTGAACGAGAGGAAGAATAACAAGAGATGAAGACAGGCCAGGTCGTGTTGTGTCTTGTGACTGTAGAATGGCTCTCCCTGTGATCTCAGCGCAGGAGGAAGTACTTAAGAAGGTTTTAAGCAGGGAAGAACAGGTCCTAGTGGGCAAGGGTGGCAGCAGAGAGAACCACATGGAAGCCTCACCGGGATCTGGACAAGAGATTCTGGTGGTGGTGGAGAAGGTGAGGACGGGCTCCAACCCGGGAGGCATTCTGGCAGCCTAGGGTGGGATGTGGCTGCGTGGCGGGGGCTCAAGAGCAGCCCTGAGGTTTTGGCGGGGGCCCCTGGGTGCTCCCCCTCGTAGTGATGGGAGGCCTGGCGGGAGCACAGCTCCCGGGCAGAGTGCTGTGGTCCAGTCTGGACCTGCTGAGTCCGAGGTGCCTCCGGTGCTGCAGTGGGCGGTGCTGAGCAGACAGGGCGTGTATGAGTTTGGACTTCAGAGGAGAAGTCATGCTTGGAGATAAAATGTGGGTTTCCACGGTTGTCTTCCCACAGATGGCAGCTGTCCCCCTGCTGTCGAGCTGTGTGGAGCCGCAGGACTTCTCTCTGCTGCCCAGACTGTGCCTGATGGCTCCTCCGGCTCTAACGTTTGCATTCTCGCTTTAGCAACTAGTCCTTGTTTCTTTGCAACATTAGGGACAGGGCCTTTCCTCATTCATCCTGGGCCCCACTGTTCCATAGCTCAGTGCTGGTGAGGCTACGGGAGTGAGCACAGCACTCAGAACACACAGCTCTGCAATTGTGTGGCGTCTCGCTTGCTCTGTGACTCAGAGCACTTATAACCATAAGTTATAACCATAAGTGTGACCCCAGCTGTCATCACAGAGACATGGGGACAATGAATAGAGCCCTGCAGGGGAGCTTTCGTGTACAACTTTCTGAAAATATTGCAGAGACAAGTACTGTCATTTATTGTGACTCTGTGTGCTGCCTGGGGGCCACACAAAGCATGGAGACCCAGAATGACTTGACTTGTCTCTACAGTAGTAGAAGCTCCGTAGATGGAACCCCACCTTCAACACTTCGGGAGGAAGTAATTTCCAGCGTAGGATCCTGACCCTGGACTAGCCATTGGTCAATTGTGAGGGTAAAATAAAGATATTTTAATAATGTAAAATTTCATAAAAATAGTTACCCTCCCATGCATCCTTTGGGAGCTCCGGAAGAGTGCTCCAACAAGATGAAGGAGAAAACAATAAAGAGGGGGATACATGATTCCTGAAAGAGGGAACCTGTCACGGGGGGTGAGAGGGGCTCCTGGGGTGAGGGTAGAGGCCAGCACAGTCTCAGAGAGGGCTCCATGAAACCTGTGGGCTCAGGGCCCCGAGCTGGGTAACTGCGTGGAAGATACTCCCAAAGACAGAGGTTGTGGAACATGTAGTCACAGGGACCCCTTTGACCCCCACACCCACCATAAGAAACAAACAAAAAAATGGAGGCAGTTATTAAGATCTCAAGGTCGGGGCAGGGTGGGAGCCCCGGAAAGGAGATATACCATTTGGCTCAGCTGTGCATGTTTGCAGTCCACTGTCAACACCGACGGCCAGGTGAACCGTATCGGGCGGTGGCTGGGGCTGAGGGAGCTAGGTTCTTGTGACGTCTAATGTTTTTGAGAAATGAAGAAGTAGCTGCAAATGTAATTTAGAATCATGAAGGGAAATACACAAGAAACAGCAAGTTGGAAGTAGGGCGGGTGTGGCAGGAGACTGCTGTTTGTCTCTCAAGATTTTTACCTTTTTTTTTTTTTGGTGGATGAGTCACTTTGATAAGGTCAGTTTTGAACAGAATAAGAGATGGGAAGTGGAGATAAGCATGTGGCAACAGCTCCTTTGAGGAGGTTTCGCTTTGAAGAGGTGCAGAGACATGGGACAGTAGTGGGGAGGGAGGAAAGGGCAAGGGCAGGGGCGGGTTTGTTCACAATGGGAAGGGTCCAGAGAGCGGTTGCCTGCAGGAGCAGTGTCCGGGATCATGCCTGGCTGCCTCAGAGCATCTGCTGCAAAGGGGTCTCAGAGCACCAGCCCCACCTTCTCCCTGGGGCCTGGGGTAGGGGCTCTGGGGACAGCTCTCTGTCTATGGCTTCCAAGAGATAGCAAGATGTTGCCTGGGCGTCCTGGCACCTGTGGCTTTGGGGGCCCCAGAGTGAGTTTGTGGATTGGTTCCCATGGAGCCAGTGTTGTAAGGGAACTAACTGTGGGACTGCAATCTGGGGCCTGCACTGGGCCGTGCTCAGCCCTCCCAGCCTGCTTGTCATCACCTTGTGATCAGATGAGATCATACACGTGGAAATGCTTGTCCACCGCAAGACTGCATGTAATTAATGTAGCATCTTATGATTATCTTAGTGATGTCCTTGTTCAGGAAAATGAAAGCATTGGTGGGCTTTGTGGGGCTCTCTTGGGAACCTGACCACATTAGTCTTGCTTCTGTGGGCGAGTGTCTAGCAAATTCAGGTGTCCCACAGGTAGATGTGACTTGGTTATGCTGAGCACTGCCTTCTCTTCGGTACCCTTAAAGTCATGCTCCGTTCCTGTCTGGGGATAAGTAGCCATTGGTTGCCTGCTAAAGCCCTGCCTGGGGTGGGTCCCCTGGAGAAAGGACGTGTCCCCTCACACTCCTGGGCCCGGCAAGTTTTCCCTGTGGACTTGTCCGACCTTTGTCTCCTGTCTGTGCTATCTTCACTGCAACTTGGGAGAATGGAGACATTTAGAGGAGAATTGCCCGTTTGGTGAAGAGCCCCAAACAATGGACTTCTCACTTGCTCCATGTTTGACTGCACACTTACTCTCTCATCTCAGGTGAACCCCCAGGCAGTGCAACACCAAAGTTCTCTCGGGCGCAGAGGCCACAGTCCTGCACGTCAGTGGGGAGGTAATGAGTCGATCTGCTTCCTTCCTTTTAATGTTACTATGAAAACTAACTAACACATCTGCTAACTTCTTAAAGGGCCTTCTCAAGTGTGTGATGGCCACGTGGGTCTGCCCTTAGCCCCAGTCTCTTGCAGCACCACTTTTTTTTTTTTAATATCCATTGCAGTTTACCATAGCCACAGACTTGCCTCCTGTGGTGTAGACGCTGATCCTCAGCCCTGAGCCGGGGCATTTCTCTAGCCAGGCCACACAGCAGGAATGCCTTCACAGCAGTTGCAAGTGCCCAGCCCACCCCCAAAGTTCTGATTTGGTTGGTCTGGGGTGGAGCCAGCATCTGTAGGGTCTAAAAGGCGACTCTGTGCCTGGGTAAAGACCCCTGGCGTGGTGCAGTTATTCAGACTAGAGTTTGAATCCCAGATCTACCACTTCCTGGTCTTGTTCCTGACCTTGTTTTCTCATCTGTCCGGGGGGGTGGTACCAAACACAGCACAGCAGATCCTGCAGACAGTAAAGAAACACACACGCATGAGGCCTAGGCTGGGGCTGGAGTTGCTCACACAAATGGCAGCCTCCTCCCCTTAACTGTCCTCCTGCTGCCACCGTTTACTGCCACCTGCCGAGGTCAGAGGGCTGCTTCATCCACACATGTGGCCCTTTCTGATGGCCAGGTCCCAGCCCGGCTCTCTGAGGACTCTGTCACAGTGGAGGGACCCTGCCCACTGCTACTCAGTCCTGTGCATAGCAACTGGGGGTGAAGGTGGAAGTGAGGACACTCAGACCCATGGGAGCAGTGTTTCCAGGGCTGGGTCCTGGTGTGTGGCCAGCGTGGGAGCCCTGCTTTGAACCTTGCAGGGATAGGATGGGCAAGACAAGCCCTGGGCTCAGGCTCCGGAGCAGGGGCCCTAATCCTGGCTCTGCCCTGGACCAGCCTGGGCCGTGTGTGGCTCTTTCCACGACTCTGGGCTTTCCTTTACTTGTATGTGAACTGACGAGGCGCTTCACGGGGTTGACCAGTGCTTTCCCTTACAGCCTTAGCCATACTGGATTCCTTCCCTTCCACGCACAGTGGGTCAGAGAAAACCCCCAGCCAGACAGCCACTCACCACCTTGCTTTAGCTCTCTGTGCCCCGGCTTTCTCACCTGTATGTGAGGAAATAGCTCCTACCTCCCAGGGTGGCTTCGAGGATTACATTTGTTTATATTTTTATTTATTTTCACTGGAGTTTGTTCTGGAGCTGCCAGTGCTCAGCAATAAAGGACGCAGGGTAGTGATTCCAGAACTTTGCAGAGTGGCAGCTGGACTGTATAGCACCCCTCCCTTCTGCCTGTGCTCCTGGAGTGATGCTATTTTTCACTTAAAGTTTGTTTTCAGACTCTTTCTGAAGAGCATAAAAGGCTGTCCTTGTCGGATGACAGAACTGATAGGTGATCCCCAGACCTCCTGTGGGCTCCACATTGATAGGATGTCCTGACATGTTTGTAACCATTGGCTTTGCTCAGCCTCTCTTCTTTATCAACAACAACAACAATAAAACAAACTGACAGTTGTGCAAGATTCTGGGCAGTCGAAGCCATGGGTGTTTTTGCCAGGGCTGGAAGGAGAGATGCATGCGAAACAAGCACCAGGGGCCCTGACTTACTCTTTGCATTCACATTTGACTCAGGCAGCCTTCAACCTGGGGATGAATGAACACACAGTGACACCTCCTTGTCCACTCCCTTGCCCAGCCAGACCCCGCTGTGGGTCTGGACTTCGTTATGGAAACATTTATCCCATCAAAAGGTGACTTAGATCTCTTCTGAACCTCCCATGAAGTATGCTTTCGTGGTCCCTCCCGGAAAGTGCAGGAACGTTTGATTGGAACCTGTGAGGCCAGGGGAAGCCTTGCCCATTGAGGAACGGAAGCCCATGTCAGGGTTTCCCTGGGGGATTGGCAGCAGCTCTGAGTCCCTGCCCTCACTGCAGCCCCTCCTTGTCTGAGAACAGAGCTCCAACAGGTTTTGCTGGCTTGAATCTTTTATGTTGAAACCGTAGGACTTTCCACTGCATTAACAGATTGACTGAATCCTTAGATTCCTTTAAGGTCATCTCTGTTAAGGACTCCAATTTGTCTCTCCAGGGTGACTGTCCATAGCACTCCTGCGAGACGCTCCTCAGGGCCAGCCTCACAAAGCCTTTTAAGCAGTGCGAGGACCCCCGTGAGGACAAGACGCATGTCAGCATTGCCCACACCTGTTGGCTGTCGACTCTCTGGACTCCCATTGGTGACCCCTAAAACCGTGCCCAGGCCCCTGGCTTCTCCCCTGTGCATGTCTGCTCGGCAGCTTTCTTCTGAGCCCCGGAAAAAGTCTGCAGTGAGGTAAGAGATAAAGGTTGCAGTTAGTGTGTCTCACGTTCATGAACCCTCAAGCGCTCCCTGTGTTGGAAAGGCTGCCTCGTCTGGCACTTAGAGTCACTTGTCAGGACCCAGCCGGGCTGGTTTCTCACCCCTTCTCAGCGACAGAGACAGGAGCCTGACCCCCCGCGCTGTTGTGGATTCTCTGAAAGGAAGAGAAGGCACTGGCTTTCTCATTCGTCATATTTATTATCATCTACTGTCGTATCCTGGGTTTGGGCTGGAGGGCTGGGCAAGCGAGGGAAAAAGCCTGAACCTGAGTATAGTTGTGTGCCGCGTGACGACGTCTTGGTCGCTGACGGGCCGTGGATACGACGGTGGTCCCGTAGGATGAGTACCACAGAGCCTAGGTGTGGATGGGCTGTACCATCCGGGTTTGTGGGAGCACAGTCTGTGGTGTTCACACGATGAGGAAATCGCCTCACGATGCGTTTCTCAGGACGTGTCCCCGTCATTAAGCAACACGTGGCTGTACACTGGATGGATGAGGGCTCTCGCTGGGAGGAGCCCTCTGGGTGGAGCTGCACAGGAAGGTGCGTTCGCGTCGGCACTCCGAGATCTAGTGCTGCCCTTGCGGCTGGGCCCTGAGGAGAGTGCTGCAGCCTGCGCTCCAGGGTCCCTGTCAGGGCTGCCGACGCTCAGGCTTCCTGAGACGCAGGCTCTGGGTTCGCTGCAGTGCCCGCTCTCTCCCGTCTCCCACTCTCTGTCACTTCACTCCAGCCACACTGTCCCTTCGCCCTACCTCCGACAGGTCTGTCCTTGCTGTCCTGTCCCTGGTCCTGGTGGAGCTGTCCCCTCCCCATAACTGAAGTTCACGTTCAGGGGCCGAACTCAGTGGCCTTTCTGGGAAACCCCGCTCTGTACTCAGTCCCTGTGTTCTGTTTCCTGCTTTGTTTTCTCAGAGTGTCTCTCTCCTTCTCGCTACCTGAACAAGGTATGTATTTGTTTACTTGACTGTCGTCTGATGCTCCGTCAGCACAGAAGCTCCCTAACAGCTGGGGCATTCTCTGCCAGACTTGTCACCATGTCCTCAGAGTTGAGAACGAGCTCCTGGCATGTAGTGGTGCTCAGGAAGTATTTATGAGAGGAGTCACCTATGTGGACTCTGCTGTTGGTCACTAGCTTCCCTGTGAGGCAGGTTTAACGGGCGAAGCGAAGACAGCGGGCTTTTGGTTTTCTCACTGGGCCGCAGCCAAGCTTTGGGAGAGGCTGGGGGATTCTGGGAATGCAAGGACCTTACGCTGACCCCTGTTTTCCACTTCAATTCCAATTCCACTTCTGGTCTGATGCTTCTGAGCCAGGCAGCTTCTGAGGCTCCAGGCAATAGGGCGAGTGAGGCCTGGACTCTGGGGTTCCTGTGGAGTGGACAGGGGGCTCCCCTGCCCATGGATGAGGCCAGCATTAGGAGCCCCTAAAGCTACGGATTCTGCAAAGAGTAGCCCACATATCTGTGGATCCTGGGTCGTGGGTGGGAAGGTTATGACGGCCTCATCTTTCCAACCCCAAGAGGCTGCTACAGACTCTGGTGGACAGGCAGCGTCCTCTTCCGTCCACGAGGCTGTGAGATACAGGCCAGCAGGGAGCAGGGGACTTCTCTGCCTGCATTGCCCGATGCAGAGGCCGCTAGCCACGTGTAGCTGTTTAAATTCTAGTTAATTAAGATTAAATAAGATTCAAAATTCAGAATTGAATTTTTGAACCTCACTTGCACTAGCCACATTTCAAGTGCTCGGTAGCTACATGTGGCCCAGTGGCTACCGTACTGGATGGCACAGATACTGAACATTGCTGCCTTATCCACTGGGGACGGCTTCTGCTCCTTGGAGAGGACAGCATTCTGCTTCCCATCACTTGTGACACTGCCACTACTTGGGGGTGTCCAGTAACTGACCTGAGTCCCAGTGGGCTGACTTTCCCCTGTCTGTGCCCCTTAGCCCCAAATGGTAGTGGGGAGAAGTCAGAAATAAACAAGATCGCAGTGAGAAGACAGACGTGAACAGAGAGGGAAGGTTAAAGGTGTTCTCAGGAAATGTGGCCAGCAACTCTCTGACAGTGAATTTGAAAACCTGATGAAATGATTTCCAAAAAATACGTTATCTAAATTAACCCAGGGAAAAGGGGAAGTGTGAATTAAGCCGTGGTTGGAGCTTAGAAAGGTGATTAAAGATTGAATCTGGCTCAGATGAGGTCACAGCTGAGTGGTATGTAACCTTTAAAAATCTAATTTTTAAAGTTAACTGTTTCAGACTATAGATAAATGAGGGTGGAAAGTTCTATAATTCATTTTAATAGCTAAACCTATAGCTAATGGTAACACCTAAAAAAGGCAAACTGGAGACTGGGTTCACTTATGTATATAGATATTAAAAAAAAAAAAAAAACAGGGGCCGGCTGGTGGCGCAGCAGTTAAGTTCACACGTTCTGCTTCGGTGGCCCGGGGTTCGCCAGTTGGGATCCTAGGTGCAGACATGGCACCGCTTGGCAAGCCATGCTGTGGTAGGCATCCCACATATAAAGTAGAGGAAGATGGGCACAGATGTTAGCTCAGGGCCAGTCTTCCTCAGGAAAAAGAGGAGGATTGGCAGCAGATGTTAGCTCAGGGCTGATCTTCCTCAAAAAAAAATCCCAGGGGCTAAGGGGCACAGACAGGGCAAAGTCAGCCCACTGGGACTCAGGTCAGTTACTGGACACCCCCAAGTAGTGGCAGTGTCACAACTGATGGGAAGCAGAATGCCCATCTTACATCATGGAGAAAGAAATCCCAGATAAATTAGAGACTTAAATATAAAACACAAGAAAAATATTAGAAGGAAAAATAGGAGATTGTGTGAATAATTACAGGGCAGGAGACTTTAATCACAGCTGAAAACGTAGCAAAGATGAAGAAAAGATAGCCATATTTAACAGTGTAAAAATGAAAAACTTCTTTTTTTTTCCTTTTTTCTTCCCAAAGCCCCCAGGTACATAGTTGTGTATTCTTAGTTGTGAGTCCTTCTAGTTGTGGTATGTGGGATGCTGCCTCAGTGTGGTTCAATGAGCGGTGCCATGTCTGCGCCCAGGATTCCAACCGACGAAACCCTGGGCTGCCTGCAGCGGAGCGTGCGAACTTAACCACTCAGCCATGGGGCCGGTCCCTTCTGTCTTTATTTATGGCTAAAATTACCATAAATGAAATTAGACATGGTTGAATATAAAAAAAATGGGCAAAGAATCTGAATAAGCTCAAATGGTTAACGACATCTGTGAAGACACCCAAATTCACTCTTGTCAGGGAAATGCCCATTACAGAAGCCGGGGGACAGCTCTTTGTAGATCCTCAGTGTTCCTACTAGCTGGTGAGGGTGTGGGGAGAGGCATCCTGGAACACGGCTGCAGGAATGGGAATTGTGATGGTGCGTGTCAGAGAGCCATTTATCAACATCTGTTACAGTTCAGTGACACAGACCTCCGATCCAGCCATCCTGCTACAGGAGTGAGACTACAGTTCGTGTACAGAGATGCCCCTAGCGGCAGGGTTTCTAGTGGCAAAGACTGGAAGTAAACAACCATTTAGGTAGCCGGTAAGAGGCATGAGTCAGCATTGTACCAGCTGACTTGGAGGGGTTTCATAAGGAATCCCTGAGAGAGAAAAGATGCAGAAGAGGGTGTGGAACATGATCCCATTTCTGTAGAAGAAACAATGGCTGAGAAAAAAGTCGTCTGTGTGTAAATATATATCTACCAGCAATAGGTGTTGACCATGTATATGTCTATTTAGTTCTATGAAAATAGAGAAGACTGTGGAAGAAGAAAATGCTCAGATGGGAGACTGGGCCCCCTGGCGGAGTGGTGAAGTTCACATGCTCTGCTTCAGCGGCTGCGGTTCACCGGTTCAGATCCCAAGCATGGACCATGGACCTATGCACCGCTCGTCAAACCATGCTGTGGCGGCGTCCCACATACAAATAAAAATAGATTGGCACAGACGTTAGCTCAAGGCGAATCTTCCTTACCGAAAAAATGCTCGGATACATGTGACATGGGGAAGAGGGAATGTCAAACAGAAAGGAAGACAAACAAGACTCAGTGTATAAATAGTCATGGTGACCTGTTTAGGTATGTTGTATGTTTTTAAATGTAAATAGAGAAAAAAATTCTATTTTCAGATTGTTGTAAAGCCTTTAAAATATTAAAAAGAAAATACAGTGTATTCCCTATGTAATTCAGTTTTGAGCGATCAGGTGTTGAGGGCCCACCAGGCGGCCGGCTCTGTCCTGGGTCTGGAGGCGCAGCAGGAAGCAGGCAGACAGGCCACCCAGGTGTTCCCTGCACCGTCTAGTAGGAACACAATCCTCAAAGGAGTGTCTGCACGGGAGACGCGTACCGTGGGGGACAGCCTCCGCTGTGGGCGCCAGGGAATCCAGACCTGCCTGGGCGCGCAGGCCAGGCCTCCTGAAGAAGCAGCAGGAGGAGGCGCCATTCCAGGCCGGTGGAGCAGCCCTCGGGCTCAGCCAGGGCTGGGAGAGGGGAGCTCACCTAGGAACCGGGAGAAGCTGTGTGGTTCGCTGCACGTGGATGGAGGCGGAACTCCTGCTCATGGCCCTCGCTCCTTTCCTGCTATTTAATAACCTTAAGGAAAAGGGGATAAAATGGGCACATGTTGATAGCAGACTGGTAAAATTTTAGAGCTGATAGGAACCTCAGAAATCATTCTGTCCTCCTGATGGAGCTGGAACCAGAGCCAGGATGCCCTCCAGTGTATGATGCTTCTCCAGAAATAACACGGCCAAGCAAACTAGCGTTTTACGGAAATTTCCTTAAAAGAGTTTCCTTTTTTTCCTCGTGCAGAATTTCACCAATGAGGGAGAGCCAGAGCAAGGCTGCTTCTGGGTGCTCAGACTTATCATCTGATGGGAGTTTTTCTCCTCCGTCTGCTGTGCCGCAGGCACTTAGCTTTTCTCCAGAAAAGAGTGATTTTACTTTTTCAAAAAGTGTCACCACAGAAGCAGCGCTGGTGGAAGCACAGGCGCCTGAAGATGCACCCCTCAGTGAGGTAAGGAGACAGGCGGCTCACTCCCGTTAGCCTGGTGAAGGGCCACTGCCCTGGAAGCCGAGTGGTGACTCAGGACCACGGCCCCAGAATTGCCTCGACAGGACTTCATGCTGTGACCCTGGGCCTCCAGTGCCAGCTGTGCCAAAGAGGAAGTCAGGCCCTCTGGCTTCCCGAGGAGAAAAAGTCCACACCTTGCCCTTGCACTTGACCATGGAGAGGGCCGGGGTTCCAAGGACGGGACGTGGGAAGCCCGGCAGCAGTGAGGGGTTAGTGGGCTCCAGTGTTGGCTGCTGACAGCAGGGAGGTGGGTGGGCGTGATTCGTGGCCAAGAGGAGAGAACTCAGTCAGTATGTGCTCCCCACCAAGGGCCTAGCCCAGCCCTCTTCCTTGCGTTTCCAAACTGTTAGCCACCTGGGGACATAAGCAGAGCCTACGGTCCCCAGGATGGTTGACAGAAAGATGCTAGACCCGCCTTTAAGTCTTGTGCTGTTGTCTAGGCTGTTCTCGTGGATATCCAGCTGGATCAACTTGTCATCACTCCAAAAGCTGAAAGCGCACCCCTCCTCGACCTCCCTCTCATCGACCTTTGCAGTACTCCAGGAGCGAGCTTGGCTCTGGGCTCCGAAAGTAGACCTCTGATCGACCTCCTGACAAACACTCCGGACGTGAGCAGAAGCGCTGTGTCGAAGCCTCTCCACGAGGTGGGGCAGGTGAGGAGCAGCAGGACGCCCTTTTGGCTTCGCCTTCGGTGGCCTCAGTTCTGGGTTTATTCCTCAACCCCGGGATATCATGGTGACCCTGGAGAGAGGCCACTGAGGCTTCTAAGGGCACCATGTCTAAGGGCACGCCTCATCTTTGTTGGTGAGAGCTCAAAGTTCAGGTCGCACCGAGGGATGCTGCCTGGGCATCCGGGAGCTCTCGGAAGGCAGGGGTCACGTCGTTTCCAGCCCAGTGTCCCCCAGGCCTACGGTGCGATGAGCAGCACAAATGTTTGAGAAGCTCGACTCTTCAGTATGTGCATTTTCTCCATCCAATCTTAGACGAGACAGTCAAGATTTCAGTGTGCCTGAGCCGGGCTTGCTGAGTTGCTATGGTGCCGAGCCACGGTGGGGATGGCTCGCGGGCAGCCCAGCCTGCAGTGAACAAGGTCCTGTGGTGTTTATGGGCTGTGAAGGGGCAACAGGGACCTCTGCTCACCTCCTGTCGCTTCTCTCTTGCAGCTGATAGACTTGGCCTCTCCTCTGATCCAGCTGAGTCCCGAGGCTAACAAGGAAAACGTGGACTCGCCGCTTCTCAAGTTCTGAGTAGAACAGAAGCCTCCGCATTTTATTCTTTGTTGCGAGAACAGTCAGTCCTAACTTAGAAATGAATTGTAGGATAAATTGTTTTGGCAAAATTAAAAAGGAAAACAAACCTAAGTCAAATGACTGTGCCTGAGGGACTGGGGGGTGGTTTGCCCACCTGAGGTCACTGCTGCCCGCAGCGTCCGTCCTTGCTGCCCTGCCAGGCTGGGATGCCGAGTGGAAGTTGCTCCAAATGGAGAAGTTTGTTTTGGAATTTTTGTAAGTAAAATAGCAAGTGACTATTTTTAAAATTGTTTGTATGACAAGTTAAATATTCTAGATTTACATTGTAAAATAAATGACAATGAATTAAAGCACATCTTGATTTGTAAGATGACCTTGATTTTCAGAAATACATAGCTATTATCACTCTTATCAGGACACAAGATTTATATTATCCAAACTGTAATTCTAAATTTAGTGGGAATACTGTGACAGCATGGATGGACCTTGAGGGCATTATGCCAAGTGAAATGAGTCAGACTGAGAAAGACAGATACTGTATCATCTCACTTATATGTGGAATCTAAATAAAGAAAAAAAATGGACTTATAGATACAGAGAACAGATTGATGGTTGCGGGGGGTAGGGGTAGGTGAAATGGGTGAAGGGGGTCAAAAGGTACAAACTGCCAGTTATAAAATAAATAAGTCATGGGGATGTAATGAAAAAAAATTGGTGTGAATAAAACGTGGATTAAATGCAGTTGCCAGACCCTACCCCCCAGACCTGGGGCAGGCCTAGTAACCTGCATTTTCCGTGGGCTCCCAGGTGGTTCAGGTGCCATGGGCCACAGAGCACGCCTGGAGAAGAGGCTGCTCCAGGGAGGTGGGGGTGCAGAATGGAAAGAGAAGGCAGGAGATGAGGAGGGCCTTCTCTGAGTGCTGAGGTGAGGGCCGTGTCTGAGGGCGGGCTCTTCGGCTGCTGGAAGCAGGAGACTCTGCTGGAGGCTGCAGGAAACAGCGGGGCCTAAGGGCCACTGGTAAGCGGATTCTCTGCCTGAAGCCATTCTAATTTAATATTTTTAAAAAACTAGCTGGCCTGAAAGCCATGATCTGTTTAGATATGTCCTTATCTAACGGGGGAATTTCTCAGTCTTAGTTCAGGGGCCTCAGAGCAGGCAGTAGAAAAGCTGCTAATTGGACCGCTTTGGGGGCTCCCATCCGGTGTTCCCTGCACGAGACCAGGGAACCTTGGTCTCCAAAGGGCTGAGGGCAGAGAGCTGGTTGGGCTGTGCATTTAACCTTGATTAATGTCTTGATGTAGAGCACCATTTGGAATGGTGTTTCTTGTGTTATCAAGAGGAGACAGCATTGCTGTGCCTGTGGATAAAAGCTGGAAATTTGAAGGCAGAAATGCTTGAAAGTACCAGCTTATAGCTGGGGTATCCTGAGTAAACTAGCGGTCAGACTCTGCAAACAAGGCTCCTTGCTCTAGGAAGCACCTCCTGGCTCGCTGGAGCAGAGAGCCTGCAGGAGTCACAGCAGTCTGCTCCTCTTCCTCTTTCCTCTATTCCAGTAGGCAGCATGGAAGTCTAGAATCCAGTATTAGCACCGCAAGGTCCTCAAATGTCTGGTGTGGCCCCTCATTTCATAGTGGAAGAACCAAAACCGGGAATTAATTCATGCAACAAATATTTACAGAGACTCTCCTATGGGCAGACTGCATTTCTGCCAGGGGCACGGGTGCAAAGCTCATGCATCCCTACCTTCGGGGGCTTAACGTCTAGTGTGAGAGAGGGACGCCTGGGGGCTCGAGCTGGGCCTCTGGCCTTTGCCTGCTCTCTGGTTTTTCTCATCTGGTGCCCCTCCCCTCCCCCAGGTGCCTTGGCAGCAGCCAGGCTCTCCTTGGGGTCCAGGTGCACCATCCAATCTACAAGTGTCCCCAGGCAGGACAGGAGTAATCTGACTTGTAATTTTCTTTAGACACGGGTGAAGGACTCAAGGAGCACGAGTTGGGTGAAGCAGCGCCTCCCACGCCGTGTGCATCATCCCCTTTCCTTCCTGGTCTGCTCTCTCTGACAAGCGTCACCCAAGCTCTTTTCCTCTTCTGGCCCCGGGGCCCTAAGCCCACCACACGGAGGGCTCCATGTGAGAAACTGCACACCACGGACTGGAGACTGAGGTGCTTCTGGAGCTGCGTGGGGGGCAGGCCACTTTCTCTGCACAATCGTGTGATCCACCTTGGCTGCCGCTAGAGGGCCACCCTTCCAGGTTTAAGAGATCCAACTTCACATGATTTTTGCAATATTTCATTAATTTCCTGGTGCAAATGTCTTCACATTTACTTCTCTGGAATCCACATACCTTACATCGCCGTTGGCAGGCACCACTTAGGATGTCACTGTCTTTGCTATCACCTGCTCCATCCATGGACCTGGATTATACACAGTGGTTAATGACTTGGAGCTACACAGTAGCTAAAATACCATATATTTAACTGAAAAGTAGCAGAAAACATGTTGCCAATTTATCATGTTTCAGCCACTTTGTGGGTTGGTTGCGGCATACCTAAACCTGAAGTCCTTTGCTTGGGCAGGAAAACTAGACCTCGCCCTAATCTTGTATCAAATTGCCACACCCAGCAAGGGCATGGTCCTATAGACTGAGCCAAAAAATCCAGTGACATCAGCCTGGCTATGGCCACAGCCTCGAGTAAACGTTCACCACTAAATCTGCCAGAGGCCAGATACTGGGTTTACTCATCTCTTTTGGGAAATGCAAGATGAAACTGCTACCCTTGTTGAGTGTTCTTCTAATAGTTTCTGAAAAAGCATCATTCTTCTGTTTCCCCACAGGGGCCCTGCCACCTTCCCTCCTGTGGGGAGCCCACCCCGTGCCTGCTCTTGGCACCAGTGGCCATGACTCTCCAGTTGGCAGTTCCTGTTTCTCTTCTCAGAAATGGAGAGTTGGAGCCTTCCTCATTTCACTCAAGATCCTTACAAGTCCTGTTCTCAAGGAAATGGCTTGCCTTAGTAATTATCCATGTTTAAACATTTATGTTGCAGGAGAGGAAGAGGAATCCTCTACCCACTCTAGGTCCTTCTGGCTCAGCTACTAATTAAATTGACAGGAGATAGAATAACAGGAGAAAAACAAGTTTAATGACATGTATACATGAGAGAAACCCAGGAATACTGAGCAACTCAGCCATCTGGCAAAAGCTGCCGCCTCAAATATTATTTTCAGCTAAAGGCAAAGGAGGATGTTGGGGGTAGTGGTTTGGGATTTCAGAGGGGAGGAAGACTATTTACAGGGAGATGGAAATGCAAATGTTTGTTAAACAAGTTTTACTGGGCCAAAAATGGGCTTGTTGGTGCCTTTCTATCACACCTATTTTACATTATACTATAGCTGTCTTGTGGCATTAGCTCCTTCCTGGAACAGGCCTTCCATGTTAAATTCTTTTAGGCAGTTTGGAGGAAGGTCAAATATTCTTCCTGAGTCTTCTGAGCCTTTATTGTGTTCAGCTCAAAATAATCCACATACTAGAGTGGCGCATCTTTTTTTTCTTTTTTTTTTGAGGAAGCTTACCCCTGAGCTAACTTACTGCCAATCCTCTTTTTGCTGAGGAAGACTGGCCCTGAGCTAACATCCGTGCCCATCTTCCTCTACTTTATATGTGGGACGCCTGCCACAGCATGGCATGCCAAGCGGTGCCATGTCCGCCCCGGGATCTAAGCCGGAGAACCCTGGGCCGCTGAGAAGTGGAACGTGCACACTTAACTGCTGCTCCCCCTGGCCAGCCCCCGAGAGTGGCACATCTTGAGGCGGCCTGCCCTGAACCCTGGACATTGATGATGTCCACTGTTGACCTTTTAAGAAACTGATTTTATTTATTTATTTTAAAAAATTTTTTTTTAAAGATTTTATTTTTTCCTTTTTCTTCCCTAAGCCCCCTCAGTACGTAGTTGTATATTCTTCGTTGTGGGTCCTTCTAGTTGTGGTATGTGGGACGCTGCCTCAGCATGGTTTGATGAGCAGTGCCATGTCCATGCCCAGGATTCGAACCAACGAAACACTGGGCCGCCTGCAGCGGAGTGCATGAACTTAACCACTCGGCCACGGGGCCAGCCCCAAGAAACTGATTTTAATGCCAAGCTTTGGTGTGGGCCTGACTTCAAAACCATCTGGTGGTATTTCCTCCCCTGCAGTTTTCAAACCATGGTTCAGATCCTACCTGAAATCAATTTAGTGGACTATACCAGCAGTTTTAAAAAACAAAAAAGAATAAAATGAAAAATAAGATTATATGGCACATATAACAGTAAGGACTGTTTTGAGATGCATTCTTTTTATACTTATGTGCGTAGGTGGGTGTGCACTCTGGGCCACCCTGTAAAATGTGACACTGTCGGTTGCAGTCTCTGATTTGAAGCATGCCTGTATCTGGCACATGCGGGTCGTAGCTCCTGGCGTCAAACCAAATCTCGCTGTCCTCGGACCCTGGCAGCACTCTTGGTCTGTGTGTGTCATCCCTGGCCTCAGCACTCCACTGACAGCCATGTCCTCGCTCTCCCAGCCTCTTGGTGGGTCAGTCACTGGACCAGCCGACTCTGCTCTATCGCAGTCTCCTATCCAGGCCTCTTCCTTTGGTTTCATTTGCGCCCTCCTACCTTCCCATAGTCATCTTTTAGGCCCAGCAAATGTTTCCAAGTTCTGCTGTTTCCATCATCCAAAAATCTCCCATCTGTCATTTGCCAGGCTCCCCCAGGCATGCATTCACTCGCTCATTCACTCAGGAACAGCCACATCTCCAGTCTGATGGCACCAAGGCACCTCAGTTCCTCCTGTAGGGGAGAAGGACAATTCCTCTCCCCTCTAGGTCCTTCTGGCGGGTCTAAGAATTAAATTGACAGGAGACAGAACAACAGGAGAAAATCAAAGAAAGTTTAATAACACGTATACATGGGAGAAACCCAGGAGAACGAGTAACTTGCCAGAATGGCTGAAGCCACCACTGTAAATACCATCTTCAGCGAAAGACAAAGGAGGGTGTTGGGGGTAGTGGTTTGGGACTTCAAAGGGGAGGGAGACAATTTATATGGAGATGGAAATGCAAATACTTGATAAACACGTGTTCCCAGGCCATCTATAGACAATGCAACCAGAGAAACGGAACTTTAATAAAAATGGGCTTGCTGGTGCCTTCCTGTCCACCCCACCTTGCTTCCATTATACTAGAGTTATCCATGGTATTAGTTCCTTTGACGAAAATAATCCATAACCAATCTATAAATGAAAATTTGGGTGAGTTTAGTTTGAGCTAAAATGTGAGGACCATGGCCCACGGCCTTCCTTCCCAAAGGAAGAAAGGGCACCAAAGAAGTGGAGTGCACAGAGTGGTTATATACCCCCAAAGAGGATGTTTCACATATGATTGAAATGTCCCTTTTACAATAATCACAAGACTGCTCTGTCGGCACAGCGATTGATGGACACAGCAGGGTGGCACGTCTGCTGTCTCAAGTTGGGTGGTCACAGGTGAGCTGGGTGGTCAAAGGCTAGCTGGGAGGTCAAAGGTGAGCACAGCAGTCAGTTTCTAGCCTAAGGAAAGATGCTTATCCTTAAGAAAATGCCAACGTGGGGGGAAATTGCACCTTTATCTTAAGGGCATTTGTTCTTGCCATAGTAAATGTTTAAAGCAGATATACAATGCATGCTCAACAGCCGCGTCAGGCCCTTTTGTAAAAAACAAAGTCAGGCTGAATTAGGTTTACACCATATGGCTTCCTCATATACTCCAATATACCCTATTGCTTGCCATTTCTGTCAGTTCCTTCCTAGAACAGGCCTTCCACCTTGACTTCTTTTAGGCAGCTAGGGGGAACATCCAAGTCTTTCATTCTTAAAAATGATCGACCCAAAGAGACATGTTTTGGGGAGGCCAGTTCTGATCCCCCAAGCTGCCCTCATTTATCAGCCCAGCACCAGGCGCCCACGTGAGCCCAGACTCCCCCGGCCCGGGAGTACCTGGGAACAACATACGCCCTCCCGCGCAGCGCACTCAGACGCCAGCGCAAGCTGGTACTGAGCACCGTGGGCCGCGGTGCGCGCGCAGGAGGGAAGACGAGAGCGCGGCGAGCAGAGGGCGCGGGCGCGGGCGGAGCCGGGGCCACCGAACGAACGCCCAGGGAGGGAGGCCCGGACTGCGGGCCTCGCGGAACGCCGCGCGCCGAGCACACGTTCCCGGCCGGGCTGCGTCCGCGGCGCACCGCGGCGGAGGCGGGCTTTCCGGCGCGGCGCGGAAGCGGCGGCGGCAGTGGAGAGTTGGCGGCACGCGGATGCAGGCGGCGCGGCACGTCGTGTGCGCCCTGTCCGGCGGGGTGGACAGCGCCGTGGCCGCGCTGCTGCTGAGGCGGAGAGGTGAGCGGCCTCCTCGGGGAGCCCAGCCTCCTGCGACGCCGCGGGGGTCGCGTCCGCGCGGGGCTTCTCCCCGTTCGCGGGGCTGGCGGAGCCGCTGGGCCGCCTGGTCCCCGACGGCGGGACTTCCGGGGCCGTGCTCGAGGCCCTGCGGCGGGGCGGCGGCGTCGGGGCGCTGACCCCTGCGGGCACGGCAGCCGCTCGGAGAGGCCTCGTCCCAGTCCACGGGCGGCCGCGGGCCGTCGGCTTGTGCGAGCGCGCCTGTGGTCGCCGTTCTCCGCCGGAGCCCGGGCCTGTCTCCCGGGCGTTGAAGGGGGGAGGGCGGGGAGCGGAGGTCAGCGCCCGTCCGAGTTCTCCGTCTGCGCGGCCCTCGCGTGGTGAGGCCTCGTCCGCTTAGCGACGCGCGTGGAGCCCCTGCTGTGAGCTGCCTCTCGTGCCAGGCGCCTGGGATGCTGCGTGAATGCGAGGTTCCTGCCCCTGGGCCGGTTCCTTAAACTCTCCCCGCCTCGCAGTGGAGACAACACCTCCCTCATGGGTTTCTGGAAGGATTAAGTGATGTAACACATACGACGGTTTACCCCAGTCTCCAGCACATAGGAGGCGTTCAGGCAACGTCAGTGGCTGTTAGTACATGTTATTAATAACTATTATGAGCGGTATAATAAAAAGTGCTTAATAGGCACGTAGGCAAACTCTAAGCATATATAATTGTGAGAAAGGGGGACTCAGAGCATCATAGAAATGGTGGTCTTTGAGCTGAGACTTGAAGGAAGAGTAGGATTTCACGAAGCGAAGAGTTAGGGGTGTGAGGTCAGGTGGCAGGCTCTCCTGACAGGGTCCGCAGCCGTGCAGAAGCGCAGAGGCCCGAGTGTTGGCTGGGTCTGGCCAGAGAGAAGTGGAAGGAGAAGGAGGGTGGAGAAGTGGGTTGAGCCCTGCTTTGAAGATGTGATGTTAGGGACCTAAGACTATCTTGGGAAGACAATGCAGAGCCCCTGAAGGTTCCTGACAAGGGGTGTGGACTTGTTTTGGGAGATGTGGAGGACTGGGCATGGGGATACCAGACCTATTATTTTACTCTTCAGGAAGCTAAGTTCTGCCTCTTGCCCAGGATCCAGACCATACAACTTCATGCTCCAGCCTTCCTTGGGGGAAACTGATGGATGTAGCAAAGAAAAAGCACGGTCCTCTCCTCTTGGCATCCGGGGCTCTCCTAGTCTTGTTGGAGGTGCATGTTCTGTCACGTGCCCCCTGGGGAGTTAGAGATAAGCAAGGCACTGAGTTCCCATCCCAGAGTGCCTGAGCCTGTGCCCGTGTGAGTGGGTCATGGCTCCATGCAAAAGATGATGGGGCCGATGAGGCTGTAGAAGACTGGATTTTTAAAGCTCTGTGTGTGGAGTTGTTTACTCATTCTGTAAGCACTTTTTAAGCTCCTGTTCTGTGCTGGGCTCTGCTAGGTGCTGGGGACACAGAGTTCTATGAGACACAGCCCCTGCCCTTTGAGGAGTTCCATGCTTTCGTTTCACGGGGGGACAGACTGGAACAGCTGGAGCCCAGTGTGGTGTGTGCTGTAAGTGGAGCAGAGTCAGGTGCTTCTGGAAGCAGAGGCGGGAGGGCCTGACCACCTGCTGGGCTGGGGGTGGTATTGCAAATGTGGCGTTTTAGTTTTGGCAAAGCTTTGCCCTCGAATCTTTGTCCCTTGAAGTATTATAGTAAGCCTTTTACAGTGAAATACTCTGTCTTGTTTCATTGAGTCTACCCAAAAGAAACAGACTTCTCATAAACTGTAGGCGCCTGTGTAGTTCACTAAGATGGTGTAAGGCTAAAGTTGGTCTTTCCAACATTTGGACACTTTGTCACAACAGAAAAGGAAAAAAATAGGTCATAAATTGTATAGGTAATACAGCCTTTAAAATAGCCAAAATTTTAATTGTCTTTGGTGACTTTGAATCTATCTTAGATGGTAATTGGAAATAACTTTTGAAATGAATTTACTTTTCTGATAACTGAATGGTGGTTTGTATTTGCTTTGAAAAAATTTTTTGAATTTCTGCTTTTTCATTCAGCACAAATTTGCTAAACCTCTCTATGTGCTAGGCATTGTGCTGACACAGGGTGGGGACACAAAGATGAAAAAATGCCATCTTGCTCATATCCTGGGGATGCAGGCAAACAGGTCAGTCCAACAATGTATTGTGATGATGGAGGCCTTTACAGAGTGCAGTGGGAGTGCGGAGGAAGGAGCCTCTCAGTCAACCGGGGAGAGTCAGGCCTTCACCAAGATGGGAGTCAGCTCTGGGGGCCGTGTGGCAAAGGACTGGCAGGCAAGCCAGCACATGGAGGCACGGGAGCATGGCGTGTCGGAGCTGCTAGGAGCTCGGGAATCGCTGCCTTCTTCACTGAAGGTTGATTTTATTTTTTATTTTATTTATTTTACTATTTTTTTTTATTTTTTATTGAGTTAATGATAGGTTACAATCTTGTGAAATTTCAGTTGTACATTATTGTCTGGCAGTCGTGTTGTAGGTGCACCCTTTCACTCTTTGTGCCCACCCCCCACCCCCCCCTTTCCCCTGGTAGCCACTAATCTGTTCTCTTTGTCCACAGGTTTAAATTCCTCATATGAGTGGAGTCATACAGAGATTGTCCTTCTCTATCTGGCTTATTTCACTTAACATAATTCCCTCAAGGTCCATCCATGTTGTTGCAGATGGGACGACTTTGTTCTTTTTTATGGCTGAATAGTATTCCAAAGGTTGATTTTATATACTCTCTTTAATTTGTCCTTCCTTCTTCCCCCAGGTTACCAAGTGACAGGGGTGTTTATGAAGAACTGGGACTCGCTAGATGAACATGGAGTTTGCACTGCTGACAAAGACTGTGAAGATGCTTACAGAGTTTGCCAAATCTTGGACATCCCTTTCCATCAAGTGTCCTATGTGAAGGAGTATTGGAACGATGTGTTCAGGTGAGTGCAGTTCACAGACACAGAAGCGTTCCCGATGAGCAGTGAATCCTTTCCCGGGGGAGGGTTGCCGTAGCCAGCCAGACTGTTGGCCAGCAGCTGGTGCTCTTTGGCAGTGGTGCCAAAGACCATGTGTGGGAAGCCTCAGCTGCTCTCTGGAGCTCTGTGTGAGAGGCCAGCCTGGATCCCAGAGCCCCCCCAGCTCTTATTCCTGTTATTGTGCCCCCTGCCAGCAGTCTCTTTAATGCCTCTTGAACCTTGACAACAACTTGCTGCTAACTTAGGCGAGGGGAGCTAAGGCTGAGATCTGCCCTGGAAGGTGCCATGAAGTGAGTATCCGTCCACTGCCCATGCAGGTCAGTGATTAAGGGGTTCTGAGAAAAAGAGTTAGGTGATCCATCCCCCTTTGCCTTTGAAAATAACAAAGAAACACACAAAAATTTTAAAAATGAAATATAATCTCAACACTTATTATTAAGCGCTTACTTTGTACTAGGCGCTGTGCTACATTTGGGAACATAAAGATGGATAAACCATGGTTCTGTTCTGTAGGAGTTTACATTCTAGTTGGGAGGAGGATGTTATCTTCATAAGAGATAATGGTAGTGAGTGGCATGTAGGAAGTACCAGAAATTCTACTGAAATGGTGCAGGTTCAGAAGAGGGAGAAATGTGTCGTATGGAGTAGTCAGGACGGCTTCCTAGAAGAGGTGAGGTTTGACCTGCCCTTGAAAATAGCAGAGTAGAGAAGACATTCCGCATGGGATAGCAAGAGCAGTAGTGAACAGGAGGAGAAATGCCCATCATTTATTTGGGGACTGTTGAAAAATTTCGGTGGACCCTTGTTGCTGCAGAGGCAGGATGCTTAGGGCTGGAGAGTGGTGAGCCTTGACTAGGCTCTAGGCCTTGGTGGCCATTGAAGGCATCCGAGGCAGCAGTGGTGTGCACAGGGGTGGGTTAATGCTTTAGCATCAGGAAATCCTTGTGTTTAGTTCTGATTCTGCCACTTGTATGACCTTGGGCAATTGACTTGACTTTTCTAAGCCTCAATTTTCTCCTTTAAATGGAGATAATACCTCCCAGGGTTATTGTAAGAATTAAATGAGATTGTATATAAAGCTCTTAGCACGGTGCCTGGTATATTGTTAAGCAATAAACGTAGCTCTTGTTATTTTCATTATTAGAAAGACAAATCTGGCCGCCAGGTGTAGGATCAATTACAGGAGGAGGCTGCAGGCCCAGAATCTCAGGAAATACTGCTGCTAGAGACTTGGAATAACGTGGGGAGTGTGGATGGGAGGGGAAGGCTGGCCGTGATGGGTCCCCAGAGGACAGATCCCCTGGGCAGTAGATGTCAGGCTAAAAAGTCAGCTGAGGTTGCTTGTTAACACATACCTGGACCTGGGTCTGGCACGGGGCCCTGGAACCTGCACTTCAACAAGCCACTTCAGTCGAGTCTGATGGAGGGGTTCCTTCAGGTCTTACTTTGGGAAATGGTGCGATGGGGCTTGATGAGTGTGGGGGCAAGAGAAAGCAAGGAGTCAGTGATAGCTTCAAGATTAAGTCTAGATGGGTTGGAAAGGCAATTTTGGGGGTTCCTTTGAGTACTGCAGGGTTTGAAGTGATTGTAAGAAATCCAAGTGAATTTAAACTTCACCCTTTATTGCTTAGTTTTGAAAGTATGTGAGTGGATCATTTTTTTGGAGGTTAACTCACCTCTAACTAGGGTCAGACAGGTAAAATGACTTGTCCTGAGTCCTTTGTCAGATTAGGAGCAGAGCTTGGCTTAGAGCCGCGTTTCCAGGCCAGTGTTCCCAGTGCCTTCTGTTAACGTCCCTGCACAGACCCTTGGGCTCTGCTGGTCGGGCTGAAGGCAGAGAGCCCTGTTAGAGTCTTTGGCTCATCTCTGTGCAGCCTCTCAGCTCACTGGGCTCTGACCAGTCTTCCGTCTGTCCTGGCCTTGTCTCCACTGCCTATGGGTGTGGTTATAAGTGTGCTCATTGATCTCTTTGTTCTGAATGCTCACTGCTATAATAACCCTCTCTAGCTCCGAAATTTCTTCTGAATTCTTTTGTTCAAGATGCACTTGGCCTTCAAGAGTCAGAGCCCAGGTGTTCTTTCCAGGGGCCATCTCCCTCACAAAGTGCAGGCGAGGACTCTCTCCTTTCACTGTGCTGTGCTCCATTGCTTTTGCTGTTGCCAACTGAAGCGTCTTCTGTATGCTGTTGAGGAAATGGTGAATAGTATCTGCTTTTCATAAACTGGTTTAAATGTTCAATCTCTTCAACATTTATTTAATGCTTATTAAGTAGAAAAAGTTTTGGAGGCTATGGACATACAGAGAGAGTAAAACATGGGTTCTGCCTTAAGTAGTTTACAGCTTAATGAATCTGTTGACGACTTTCTAACAAAAAAAAAAAAAGAAAGGGTGTAATATTATCAAGTGTTGAAAATATGGAGCAACACGAGTTTTCTGCACTCCTGGGAGGAGTGACAAGCGGTAGGAACACAGTTTGGCATTGCCTGCTAACATGGAATGTGCACGTGACCTGTGACCCTGTGCAGATTCTTAATTTGTCTTCATAACATGACCCTCCTGAGCAGCGTTGTGTTTTGATTTTTTTTTTTTTTTTTTTGAGGAAGATTAGCCCTGAGCTAACATCTGCTGCCAATTCTCCTCTGTTTGCTGAGGAAGACTGGCCCTGAGCTAACATCCGTGCCCATCTTCCTCTACTTTATACGTGGGACGCCCACCACAGCATGGCTTGCCAAGCGGTGCCATGTCTGCACCCAGGATCCAAACCGGTGAACCCTGGGCCACCGAAGCGGAACGTGTGAACTTAATGGCTGTGCCACCGGGCCAGCCCCCAAGTGTTGTGTTTTTTTAACCATTGTTGATCAATGGAGAGCTTTAGGTTAAATGAAAAAATGATGATCACATATATCAAAATACACCCGAGTTTAAACTCCTGAGGCAGGCATCATGACCCTCCTGAAGTGAGTCCTCGAAGCCCAGGGAGTTCCTACTGAATCATCCTTCTCCTGTGTGCTCAGTCTGTTAGAGCTGAAATCCACTTCCTTAGGGTGTCTGACCCACCCATAGGTGCCAGGAGGTGGCTGGTTCTCAGAAGCATGTGTTGGTCACATTAGAAAAGTATTCTTTGGCACATTTGCCGGTGACCTGTATTCCCAGGCCGAGATTGTGGAATGGCTTAGAGAGCCCTGAGTCATTACTCCAGATGCTTCTAGTCCTGCTCTGTCTCGGGCGTATTCTGTTCCTCACCCAAGCCTTCCTCGGCTGGAGAAGTGGAAGGAAGCAGGGGTTTAGTGCGTCCCTCTCAGCCCCTCCCACAGCCTCTGAGCCTTTGGGGAGATGGAATGGCTACTAAGCCATAGCAGCAGGTAGTAATACCTTATTTAAGTCCAGGTTATTAGTTATCATAGATTCAAGTGGAAAGTGCAGCTGGTTTTAAGCAAATTTTTTATGAAAATGGCTGTATACTGAAGCTCTCCTGTTTTGTGGAAAATTATAGTTTTGGAAAGACAAGGAGAAACTCTAAATTAAGCGAGTAATTTCACTGGTTTATTTTTTGAGGAATGTTTCATACTTAAGAAATGAAAAGTCTTTTTCTTTTATTCCAGTGATTTTTTAAATGAATATGAAAAAGGAAGAACTCCCAATCCTGACATAGTCTGCAACAAGCATATCAAATTCAGCTGTTTTTTTCGTTATGCTCTGGATAATCTTGGTAAGTAATTTGGATTATCTTCCTTTGTTTTTTAAAAAATCATAAGATTTTTATAGATAGCCAGAATCCAAAACCTCGTAAACAGTGTCATCTTTCGGACAGAAAGGAAGCAGTGAAAATGATAGTATTTTGTATTTCATTGAGTAAGGAAGAGCTTTGTGGCGATGTGAAATAGTAGGATCTCCAGGAGTGGAGAGTACCTCTTTATCATGGACCGCACAAATAGAAGGACAGGCACGGTCGATTTCAGGAGAACAGCTTCAGAAAGTCCTGCGGGCAGGTGCGGATCACTGGCCAGAGCCTTGAAAGATGGGGCCGCTGGGCCCTGCCTGTAGGTTCTGCGTTGCCCAGAGCAGCTCTGGTTCCAGATGTGATTGTATTTAGTGGAAGTTTCAGGAGCCCTAATGCGGGGCTCAGCAAACTCAGCATTTAGTGTCATGTTAGCTATCCTCTTTTCTAGTCCTGCGGAGACCTCCTCTCTTTCTTCTAAAAGCGAGTTGTGTGCTTCGTCCTGACAACAGGTCCGGGTCTGTCCCTGATTCAGGATCCTCGGTCTCTGTTTTGTTTCTCTGGGTTTGAAGCCATGTCTTACTCGCCTGTTGTAAAAACCCATCTTGTAGTCAAGGCCCTGCTACCTCTGACAGCTTGCCTGCAGATTTTGTCTCTTCCTAGGTTTCTGCTTTCTCATTTCCGTCTGCCTGTGGGGACATCCCCCTTCCTGTACGTTGAACCTTCCTGATGCTGACTTGCTTGCTTAGACTATCTCTTGGTATCTGTTGCTGTGCTGTTGTGAATTCCCGGTTCTTTTTCTTGTCTCCTCCTGTTGGGACCACCAATAATAAGCTTCGGAACTTGCAGATACTGGCCTTTTAGTTGGTTCTGCCCATCACAGCTCACCCTGCCGTGTCTGGCCCCATGCTGAGACATATTGTGTGCCCGTGGTCCAGTGGTATCACAGGACTGTTGGCAGCTCTGTCCTGTCAGCATTTCCGAAATGACTTAGATGGGGAGAAAGTAGGCTTGCAGATCCAATGTACAAGTGACCTGCAGCTGAGATGACAGTGATGAAAAGTTGGTTCTTGGAGTTAGGTAGTAAAAAAATGCCTACAAAAACAAAGAACCAAAAAGTCTTAACAAACTTGAATCCTAACTAACACCAAAAACATGAAATCGCACAGGGATAAATGCAAAGTTTGCTACCACGGTTCAATCAATTAATTCTCCTAGTAGAAGATCAGGAGAAGATCTGGGGCCTTGAGGTGCCTCGAGCTGACGGTGAGCCTGATGTCTGATGTCTGTCCTCAGAGCCGCACAGCCTGCGCTCGCCTTGTGATCAGAGAACGTCCAAAGAAGGGAGAGGGGTCCACTGTAGTCTGCCCTGGGTAGGCTACGTCTGGTGGGGTACACTTCATCCCAGTTTATTCAGGAAAAAGAGCGACAGATGTGTGGAGTGTGTATTGATTTTGATTTTGAGCATGTCTGGAAATACACCATCTGATGAACTGTGTGGGGTCCTCACAGCGGTGCTCAAGCATATGATTTATGATTACCTGCTAGTGTGTGACGCCAGAGGGCAGAGCTGGATGCACAGGAGAAATATGTTGCTCCGGGAGGCACAGACAGCTCTTCAGGAGGAGAATGATGCTTGCCTCTGGAGAGCTCAAAGCTCCCTGTCACTTTAGCTTTTCAGGCCCCTAGGTGGCCATCTGTCAGGGATGTGTTGGAAGGAATTTCCTTAGGGAGTGTTTCTAAGTCTGAATTTACTGCATGAACAGTGTAACACAGAATAAAAATACATGAAACCTAGCCTCCTGAAATCTTAGGACTCCTCACAGAAGCATCCTGCGCTTTTGGCAGTGTAAGTGGTTGTTCTTTAAGGAAATAGACTTAAAGGGTTGGTTTTTTTTTTCTATTAGAAAATCAATTACGGTGTAATAATGTGTTCCTAAGTGCACTTTTTCAGGTAGTTACTGTGCAACAGTTAATTCTTACTGTGTCGTTTTTTTACACTGAGCTAGTTTGGTTGGTTAAGCACTGAATTCGTTTTGCTGCACTTTCCAGGAAAAAGTCTCTTGCAATACTGAATATCTGAGATTTTCACACAGTGAAATGTTATGGACTAATATATACCTTGGTAGGTTATTTCACTTTTTTGCATAATGTGGAAAGAAGAACTTGAATGTGCTAGATGGTCCTTCACCATGATAAAAATAATATGTAATTATTAAGGAAAATTTGCAGAACAATGAAAAGAGGAGGGAAAATGTCATCTGTAATTTTAATTCCCAGAATCAAAGGAATAGACTTTCTGATATTTTTCTTCATCTTTTTCTGTATGGTATAAGAAGTGCCATCATAGTATTACAGACTTTTCACTCTAAGTCATAAGCATTTTCCCATGGCACTGTTACTATGGCAATGGCATTTTAATTTACTTCATATTCTCCTGGTGTTCAACATTTTGGTTATTTTCAGTTTTTTTCTTAGTATAAGAAACTTTCAGATGAGCTGTTTGTACTTAAATCGTTGTGTGCATATCTGCCTGTTTCCATAAGCTAGAATGAATGAATAGATAGTAACTTTTGAAAGGCCCTTAAAGAGGCGATAAACTCTTGTAACAGGGTTATATCCTTTTAAATGAGGAGTGAAAGGCCGCTCCTTGAGCAGAGTTTGAGGCGTGCCCCTGCTCCCTGGGCTCTGGCTGTGAGATGGCGCGGTCGTCTGCGGCCGCTGTCGGGTAGACTTGCAGTCTCCGTGCTGCTCTAAGCGCCCTTGGCCGCTGCTGGCCACGCTGCAAACGCAAGTCTGAGACCTGATCTTTGTGTTTTAAAACCCTCATAGGAGCAGACGCGGTTGCCACAGGTCACTATGCAAGAACTTCACTGGAAGATGACGAAGTCTTTCAGCAGAAGCACGTGAAGAGGCCAGAAGGGCTTTTTAGAAATCGCTTTGAAGTTAGAAATGGTAAGTAAAAGTGCACGCATCAGAGCTTGTTAGTGAACAAAGTGAAATATTTTGAGGAATGACAGTGGGTCATGGTTGGAGTATACCTGCCAGGCCTCTGTGCCTTCCAAACTGGCTTGTTTGTTTTGGTTTCCTCTTTGAGAGTTTGAGAGTTACTGAGAGGGTCGTTTGCCTAAGGGCCTAGTGATTGGCAACAGAAGTCCGGGCCGGGCGCTGCTGGGAAATTGAATCTGTGATTTATAACCCAGTTCTAGACACTGTGTTTTGGTGATTTGCGGGTTCTCATGATATTTGAGGAGATATTTGACAGCAGTAACTGGAGTGCAGTTGGCCCTGTTACTTACCCTCAAGTTGTTGAGGGCTGGAGATCAAGGTATACCTCCATGTGACACAAGTGCTGGGACCTGGCATTCATAGCGCAGGCCTGGTGGCCAGGCTGGGAACTATGTTTACAAGGATTCCATATACACATTAGTTTATCAGTATCAAAGGGAGCAAAGTTTCACCTTCCTGGAAAAACGTAAATGCCAGACTGAACTGGGAAGCTGCTGGCTTGTCTCTGTGTACATTTGTGTGTAGAAAAGAGGAATTCACGTCCTTATTAAGTGAAAGACAAAATGGGGCCCAGAGCCATGATTCTGCAGGGAATTTCTGTTGTTGTGAATCATTGAAGGCTTATTAGCATTTCTCCATGTCTGACCCACCGACATTCTGCCTCACGACCACCTGCTCCCCTGCCCCAGCTCGGGGCTTTCCATGTACACATCCCACTTTGCTCCTCTTAGCAGTGTCAGGAGGTATCTACTCTCATCCCATTTCACAGATGAGGAAACTGAGGCTTGGATGAAGTCATTTGACCTGAGTGCCTCCACTAGAGCTGGATTTCAACCCACTTCTGCCCAGCTCCATGATCTATGCTCTTTCTGTTGTACCAGGCCCACCTGAGTTCTGTCCTGTGCATCACCGAGCCCAGTTTGAAGGCTGCGGCCAACGTGCGGTGGTGCACTTTGTCACAGGAGCCCTGAGTGTGATGGCAGTTGCTTGGCTGCCCTGTTGTCTTTCCCTCTCTCCTTCCTCACAGCAGAGGTGCACAGATAACCTTACTGCTTCGAGCCCAGACAGAGGGAGCACTGACTTGTTGGGAAGGCCTCCCGCTGCTGTCTGCAGATGCTGGGCCTGCAGCTGCCATGTTTGCCAGGGGGACCTCTGCAGTACTGACACTGGGGGAGAGATGGCAGTTTTCCTCGGCTGTCCCCCTAGTTCCTCTCCAGGTGCTGCCTTTCATGCTCCTGGGCGCCACCCACCTGGGGAAGCCTTCCACATCAGGAAGACATGATTTCAAATGCGAAGCCCTACCACGTGGGGCTCTGCAGCAAAATGCACCCAGTGGCTGTGGGTTTAAGGGCCCTGAGTAGATGAAGGATTTATTGCCCTATTGAGCAGACATGCTGCCTCCCTCCTAGAAACTGTTTGCCTTCCAGAGCTGTCTGGACCTTTGTGATAAGCCATGGGCACTAAGAAACTTCTCTGATCCCACTGGCACACATTTTGTTGAGTAAGTTTTATGTATAGTTGTTTTGATAATACCACAGTGTCTTTGCATTCACTGTTTTTTTTAGGCACACTAAAACTTTTTATTTTATTCTTATTCAGTTGCCCTGGAGTCCTGCAATAAGGCCTCCTGGCCTGGGCCTGGGCCTGTGGGGAGGGTGCATAGCGGGCAGCAGAGGGCCTGGCCCCAGGGTTAGTTGGCACCTGAAGCTGGTGCTCCTGAGCCCTGGCCTTGTGACCAGGGAGGTCTCTTCACCTGTACAAGGTGGCGGGTGGCATCACTGGCCTGGTTGAGTGCACACAAGGCCTGAAGGAGCAAAGGTATGTGAATAGAGCTCCTGGCACAAGCAGGCCCTCGCCAAATGTGAGTTCCTTCCCATGGCTTAGGATTGCCAGCTTGCTTTTTTACAAATAATAGATTTTGAGCTTGTTTTAAAATAATTCAGAACTACAAGAACATATACATCACTCCCAGTATTCTGAGGCTTTTATACATGCACTATTTGGTAAATTCAGTTTTGAAACAAAAAGTGGCATTTGGCAGGTGAGTCTACCTACCTGATGACTGCTTGGCCAGACTCTGTTTTTCATTTTTTGACTGGTTTTGTTGTTTCGTATGTAAAGAGTAATAGAATAGAGATTTAAGCGGTTGGCTCCGTTTCCAGCTCTGCCATTTCCTCCCTGCCCCACGCGGCGTGAGTCACGTTAGTTATCTGATCGTCAGTTTCCTCATCTGTAAAATGGGCTTCATTCTACGTCACATGGCTAACGTGAGAATCGCATTTGAGGTCATGAATGGAAAACAGCTACACAGAGAGCGTGTTACACACGTGACTGTGCCCAGCCAGACTGGTGCACATGTTGTTTAGACCCATCACATGTGTAGCGTGCTCTGAGTGCAACTTGCTGAGGCTTCTCTTTGCACTAGATGTGAGAAATGTGACGCCATCGTGCTGATGATACTGTGTTTAGTTCTTTCCATTGGGCCTTGAACTTCACAGTGGGGAATCTGACAGTTTCAGTCTTGGAAGTTCTGTAACATGCCAGGCGGGACTGATCTGGCCCAGAGATGGGACTAGGCCTTCTTTTCTGAACCACTGTCATTGGCCAGGATCAGTCACACCTCTGCACCATTGCCCTAAGCCAGAAATGGTTCTTCATAATAAAATAAAGAATATTAGAGAAATTGCAGAGGAGCATCTGACAGATGTCAGCTTGGACTCTAAGCAAAAACCATTTGCTGCCGAAGGAGCGTAGTCTTTCCCCGGTGGGCGACCCTGGGATGTTACGAGAGTCCTTGAAATCAGCCGTGGCAGGAACACATCTGGGATTGTTAGAGAACAGCCAGCTGACACCATGTCAGCAGAATTTTCTGTAAGTTGTTGTCTCATCCAATTTTCCCTAATTGGCTGGATTTATTTTAGACTTGTTTTTTTCTTAGTGCTTCAGAACATTTTTTCATGAGATGTTTCATCTTTGAAGATAGTATAATCTAAAGTATGAACTGGAATAAATTTCCTTATCACATAAAATCTATCTTCCCTGTATTTTTTTTTAGAAGTGGAAAAATTGGGAGTGAGACTTTTTTCTTATATTAACCACGGTGGCTCTTTTTTTCCAGTAGCCTGCTATTGAGTGTTCATCTTTGTTTCCCCCAGACCACGGGTAATCTAAGTGAACAGAAAGACATTATTAAAAGCAAAGTGTCATTATTTTTATTCCTGTAACATCTCTTCTTCTTTGGCAGCGGTAAAACTTCTCCAAGCAGCTGACAGCTTTAAAGACCAGACCTTCTTTCTCAGCCAGGTTTCCCAGGACGCCCTGAGGAGAACCCTCTTCCCTCTGGGGGGATTAACAAAAGATTTTGTAAAGAAAATAGCTGCTGAGAATAGACTTCATCATGTGCTTCAGAAAAAAGAGGTAGGATTGAGGGGGGTGTGCTCACGTCCGCCACCTCCACGGTCTGGGGACAAGCGGGCCTGTGGTCACAGCACCTTGGAGGAGCTGGTCCCGTGCGCAATAGGAGGCACTGTTGACATTCAGAAAGCAGTTTAAAAGTGACTTCTCCCTCCTGAGTCCTCCTCGGCTCCCTGTGGGGGCAGCTTTCCCAGCAGCCGTGGTAGCTCAGTGGGGTGCTCTTGGCTCAACCTGCCAGGTGAGAGCAGGGCAGTAAGGACCAGGCCCCGAGACACCCCAGTGAGGGGAAGAGCTCTGTTGCTGTCTGCACACAGATCTGCCGTTTTCATTCCCTTGGCCAGCACATCCTTGTCAGGTGCCTTCTTTGTGCTGCTAGCCTCAGGCTACAGTGAGGGGCGTCCACGTTCATCCCTGCCTTCTCGGAGCTTACAGTCAGGATGGGGAGACAGACCCGAAACATACCACTGTAAACTCAGGAAGTGTCTGAGAGAGAAGGGATGGCATCCTGTGAGAGAGGACACCAGTGGGCTCTAATTTAGATTGGGAGATAGAGATGCCAAGAAAGGCCTCTGAGGAAATTACATTTTACCTAAGGCCCAAAGGATGAATAGGATTAGTGTCACATAGATGGTTGGGGGAAAAACAGTCCAGAAGGTGGGAAGAGATGTGCAAAGGCCCTGAGAGAGCCTGGCGCATTGGGATTCAGATGATGCCAGTGGCGGGGGCTTGGTGCTAGAGGAGGGGTTCGATGGGATGATCCTGGCAAGCTTGGCAGACCCCCTCGTGTACTCGGTCTCATCAGACCATTTCAGGGATTGAGGCAGCTTTAGCTGTAGCTGCTACTCCATGTCTGCCTGCCTGGGAATGGGCATGGCCCTGCCTTTTGTCAGCAAGTCATTGTCCCCAAGGAAGACAGCCCTCCACCCATCATTTCTGTTCATCCCTTTACCTGTTGAGTTTCTGGGCGTGACTCTGTAGGAGCCAAGGGAGCCACCCTCATCGGACCACATTCTAGAGAGACAGACCAAAGAAGTGCTGGAGCCGTAGGATGAGGGCAGCGGAAGAGAAGCTTCTTCCAGCTCAGTCTTCTTGTGCTGGCAGATAGCAGCTTGCGGAAGACTCTCCTTCCTCAGACTCTGCCTCAGATGCCTCCTGAAACTCATGGACGCAGGCCTAAAGGGCTTGAGCAGCTTTAGTTTCCTTTCCTGGGGCGGCTGGTCTGGCGTTGTGCAGCACAGGGGCCAGACCCTGCCGGGTGTGGAAGTGATGTGGCCTTGCTTATCAGCTGGCACAGTCCATGTTTGGGGACCTTAAATAAACCCCGAGAAGCTGAGACATTCTGTAGGCCTCTCAAGATCTGTTTGTTGGTGGTGACTGGTGTCGGTGGGTGCTGGAGGAGAAAAGCCAGGCCCTGGGCCTGGAAGTGTGAGGCTCAGGGCAGGAGGTGAGGCCTGAGGAGGTCTGAGTGGAGCATGGCTCTGGTTCTCCTGGCACTGGCCCGTTCTTGCCCATCCGTTCATCTCATCGTTGGCCTATCTTTCATTTCAGAGCATGGGCATCTGTTTCGTTGGTAAAAGAAATTTTGAAAATTTCATCCTTCAGGTGAGTGTTCTTTGATGTAAAAGGATGGAGCCGTGTTTCTGCTCTGCACCTGGACCCATTAGTAATGAAATGTTTGTTTTCCAGTATTTACAGCCTCGACCTGGGAAATTTATTTCTATAGAAGACAATAAGGTTCTGGGAACACACAAAGGTGAGACACAGCCTCTGGCTACTTTTCGCTGTAAACTTGGTGAGTCGTGGGGTGAGTTCCGGCTCTGGGAAATTAGACCAGATACCCATAATGCCTTCCACATTCCCTGTGGTCAGAGAAGACTGCTGGGGAGGAGACATGGATGAAACAAGGACGACAGCAGTAGCTTCGACTGGGGGTTTGCATTTCAAGGGGTGGGCTCCTTGTAAGCATTGCAGCTAATAAAAAAAGATGTCATCTGGCTCAAAAAGACTTTGCCCTCTGAGTTGTCTATGAAGTTCTTGTGAGTAGAATTTCTTTTTTCACTATATGAAGAAATATTAGCGTCTGGCCCCGTGGCCGAGTGGTTAAGTTCGCGTGCTCCGCTTCGCCAGCCCAGGGTTTCGCCGGTTCAAATCTTGGGCGTGGACATGGCACTGCTCATCTAGTCATGCTGAAGGTGGCGTCCCACATGCCACAACTAAAAGGACCCACAACTAAAAATACACAACTATGTACCTGGGGGTTTTGAGGAGAAAAAGGAAAAATAAAATCTTTAAAAGAAATTATTAGACTACAGAAAAGATGCACCCTGAGGAAGGAGTTAGGCTGACTTCAGAGCCTGAGCTTCGTGACTTGGACAGTGAAGGGGTGGGATCAGGGGGTGCCCCTCACAAGGCAGTGGTGCTGCCCACGGTGCTGCTCGCTCATTTGCAAACATTTATGGGAGAGGGGTGCCATGAGCAGGTACTGAGCTGGTGTAGGGAGGACAGGGACAAAGACGAGTCAGGCGCAAGAGTTCACAGCCCAGGTGGGAGGACAGGTTGGGTCGGTATGTGGTGGGGCTGTGCCTTTGCGGGCCTGGTGACCAGACGAGTCTTGATGCGGTGTCGGTCTGACCTGCTGGGAGGACGAGGGCTGGCGCTCAGACGGACATCTCACAAATGAGTTGTTCTTTGGCAATCCCTCACTTGGTTTGGGCAGACGGCTTCCCCTTCCTGTTGAGGGGAGCAGGGCTTATGTCGTGGGATCCTGGAGAGCCAAGCATTCTGAGGCAGGAAGAGGCGGCAGCCTTGCTGGGACCGAACTGCAGGGTGCTCCCAACCCACCTCCAGCAGAGGGCCCTCAGATGGCTCATGGCTTACAGAAGCCTGCAGTTCAGATGTCCAGCTTTACTGAATTAGTGCGCCAGGCTCAGGGCGCGAGGTTCCCTCCATAATCTCTGCCCGTGCGTGGGTCATTCCACAGAACGGTCCTGCGATGTTTGCTGTGGGGGTGGGGGGATCGCAGAGGTGCTTGGGGGGAATTGGGCACAGAGGACTTGGGGGCAGCCCTGATGTCCTGGCCCGGATGTGGTTAGTACACGGAGGTGGGGGGCATACCTACGAAACCCACAGATACGTCAGGGGCTCAGCAAGACAGGACTCGTGGCCTCAGTCAGGGCACCCAGCCCACATTCTAAAGGAGTTGTCCCTGCTTCTTGTGGGTCAGGTGCTCCCGCAGCTGGGACAAGCTCAGGAGCTTGGTCAGGGCTGCTGCTGGTGGTCGGAGAACCTCAGCCTCTCTGGGCTGCCCCTCAGTAGTCCACGGAGCCTCTGCCCACTGCCTCCCACCCTCTGCTCCCCATCACGAGGGGGTGATGTTCGAGACGAGACTCATTCCCCCCTCACTGAGAAACTATTTCCATAGGTTGGTTCCTGTATACATTGGGCCAGAGAGCCAAGATAGGCGGCTTACGTGAGCCCTGGTATGTGGTGGAGAAGGACGGCGCCAAGGGTGACGTGTTTGTGGTGAGTCGGGCTAGCCTTGTAGACAGGTGACGGAGGTCTGTTTTTGGCAGAGCCCACAGTGTTTGTGAGACGAGGCAGGGCTGGTGAAGTCGTACAGAGCAGCAATGACGATGGAGCATCCTTGCCTTTCCTCTTCACCCTCCTGGGATTGGCCCAAGGTACCAGAAGGATTTTGTTTAAGGTACTTCTTAGGCTCTTATTGTGTGCTGGTACTCTATTAATCATCACATTAGTCCCTATGATAGATAGACTTCCTCTGATTCTACAAAAGAGGTCAAGACTCAAAGAAGGAGTAGTGTGCTGAAGGTCCCAAGGAGAGGAGGTAGCCTCGTGCCTAGGATGGGGCCTGCACAGCAAGTGGGCTCCCGGGAGTCATTGTTGGATGATGGAGGTGGCACAGCCAGGACCAAACCAGGCTGTCTGCCACAGCGGGGCCCTGAGCCACTGTGCCCCGGCCTCCGTCCCTGGCTCTAGAGCAGGCTTCACAAAGGGGGTGGGTTTGCCCTGCCTTCCCCCTTGCCCCCGCAGGACATTCGGTAATGTCTGGGGACGTTTTTGGTTGTCATACGTGGGGAAGCGTTTGGGGAATGGGTACTGCTGGTAACTAGTGGGTGAAGTCCAGGGAGCCCCCGTCTCTAACAGAATGATCCAGCCCCACATTTCAGTAGTACTGAGGCTGAGAAACCCTCCTCTGAGCAAGCTGGGGTGTCATCTCGTGCTCTGTCACAAAGCCTAGGGGACGTTCTCTTAGACACAGGCAGAGAGGACAGCAGATTCTGGGACATCTCCTTCCAGGAAGAGCTGTGGGTGTAAAAGCCTGGACAGGGGTTGTGGTCAACATGAATTAAAGTGGTTTCAGTGTAAAATTCACTGGTTTCTTTTGCTTTGAGAAAAACCAGAAGGGTCTTTGACACTGGTCCCTGTATGGGTCTCCTAGAGCCTGAAGCCCCCAGACTTAATACCTTTGGTCTTGCCTCAGAGGCAGGCTTGTTAGATCCTAGGAGGCAGGGGGCACATGAGGACAGGGGCCAGGGGCCTCAGAAGCAGACCCGTCAGTGCAGCCCCAGGGAGCTGGCACCGTCCCTTTCCCCAGCCACTTGGAATTTGGTGGGATTCTTGCTGTGGCCTTTTCGAGAGAGAGGCCAGAGGCATGGCTGGTCCCCATGTTCCTGGCGCTGGCCCCAGGCAGGTTGTGGGGGACAGGGTGAGACTTGAACTTAGAGGAGGAGTGCTGAGTGAGATCCTGGGGTCGGACCTCGTGCACCTCTGCTTCTTGCTAAGTGTGACTGGGACAAGTTACTTTCCCTCCTGTTTCTTAGTTTTCTCTTCTGCAAAATGAGAGTTAAAAGACTTGCGGAATGATCACCTGAATTTTCACATCAGACACTGCAGTTTTCAGCAAGTGTGTGCTGTGAGGGTTGTTGTTAAGGAAGTGCAGTGAGGAGGCTTTGGGGCGGGGCTCCTCTGTGAAGGGCTCCACGGTGTCGTGACCTTCACGTTTCGCTCCGCAGGCCCCCCAGACAGACCACCCGGCTCTGTACAGGGACCTGCTGCGGACCAGCCGCGTGCACTGGATCGCGGAGGAGCCACCCGCCACCCTGGTCCGTGACAAGATGATGGAGTGCCACTTCCGGTTCCGCCACCAGATGGCGCTAGGTGACCGAGTGGGCGGGATGCACCAGGAGAGGCCAGATTTAGGATGCGGAGATTAGTCTCCTGCAGGAGAGTCCCCCACTGTTGATATTATATAACATATTCAAGACCCCTTTCCCCCATCTACTCGGGGACAGGACTGGGAAGTGTTGAGACCCAGCCTAGCTTCCTGTGTCCATGAGGCAGGGAGGGCCGCTGGGGTGAGGGTCCAGGTGTGGGCCAGGGCAGGCAGCACTGAGCCCCTCTGGCTGTCACCCTGTGCCTCCCTGAGCATTCCTCTTCCCCCTGCTGCTGGCCTCCTGCCCCTTCCTCCCCGGGGGTCGAGGCCTGGGGCTGTCCACACGTGGCAAGGCCAGTGCCCCCCTCCAAGGGCCCCTCTCTTCTACGCAGTGCCGTGTGTGCTGACCCTCAATCAAGACGGCACCGTGTGGGTGACGGCTGTGAAGCCTGTGCGGGCCCTCACCCTGGGACAGGTGAGTGGGCGCACCCAGCTCTGTGCTGTGCTCCAGAGGGAGGATGGGACACCCAGCTGGGAGGCAGGATGGGGCCTCAGCACCCAGTCCTGTGGTCCAGAGCCCTGCCCTTGAGCACAAGATGGGCTTCAGCGCTTGCTCATCTGCCCACAGGCAGCACCTGTGCGGATGAGCGGGCTGTGGCCAGGGGGCTTCATGCATCACACTTCCTCCCTGCCAGAGCACCTGATTTACAGATCGGGGGTCGCGGGGCAGGCGGTGTGGGTGCTCGGGTCACACAGCCAGTGAGGGTGGGAGCCCTGTACCTGGTGTTCCTCTCCCAGCCATGACGGCACTGATGGCCTGGCTCCTGCTTGGCCACTGGGAGGGCTTAGCTGCCCCTCCTTGCCCTGCCTCCAGGCTGAGCCTCTGAGGGCAAGGACAGGAAAGGGAGAGGCAGAGCATTGTCCCCCTCGCCTCCCCCCAGCCCCAGACCAGCAGTCACGGGCCCAGGCTCCTGGCTGCCCCACGGGCACCCCTGTTTCTGGTCCTACTGCAGCTGACCCAGGTCTCTTTCCTTTCAGTTTGCTGTGTTCTACAAAGGGGACGAGTGCCTGGGCAGCGGGAAAATCCTGCGCCTAGGGCCGTCTGCCCACACGCTCCAGAAGGGCAAGAGCAAGTCCAGAGTGGCCACCGAGGGCTCCATTGATGGCCCGGGCCATGGCCCTGGCTCGGGTCCCACGCTCTGATGGAGGCTGAGAGGCTGCCGAGTGCCCAAGAACAGATGTGGAGGAGCAGAGCCCAGGGTGTGGCAGCCAGGGGCTTGGCTGCTGCTGCCCAAACCAGGGGGAGCCTGGGCACATCTGCTGCCCAGTGCCGGCCAGGCTGGCCAAGGTCCAGAAAGGTTCGAGAGCCTGGGAGCGCCCTGGGAGGAGAGGGCCCGCCCTGTCTTCTCGAAGTTGCAGTACTGGTCAGAAGGACTTGCTGGCCAGTGGGTCTGTCCCAGGTGCCGCATTTATAGAGTTCCTCTTTCATACCCTAGGAAGGTTTTCCACTCAGGAGCATGGAGGGGACCTTGGAGGGGGCGGTATGGGCTGAGGGACAGCGTCAAATAAAAATTCTGGCTGGGGGGCTGGCCCCATGGCCGAGTGGTTAAGTTCGCGTGCTCCGCTTCAGCGGCCCAGGGTTTCACTGGTTTGGATCCTGGGCGAGGACATGGAACTGCTCATCAGGCCATGCTGAGGTGGCATCCCACATGCCACAACTAGAAGGACCCACAACTAAAATATGCAACTATGTACTGGGGGGCTTTGGGGAGAAGAAGAAAAAAAGATTGGCAACAGATGTTAGCTCAGGTGCCAATCTTAAAAAAAAAAATTCTGGCTGAGATGTCGATTCTGACGGTGGCCTCCAGTGGGGCAGAGGCCCAGGTGGGCCCCTCTGACAGTGTGAGGGACGGGAGAGCGATCGAGACCCCGCCCTCCTCCTCTGAGATCCCAGCCTTCTCTTATTACAGCTGTGCCCACCCTCCCCTGCGGCAGAGGACTCGTGAAGGTCCTTGAGCTGAGTCCCAGCTTGCAAGGTTGCACCCAGTGTGTCTGAGAGGTGTCTTAAGGCCCCCCTGAATCCCCCTTGCCCCCCTCCCCGTCTGTGGGCGGCGCCTGGAGGCCACCCCTTCTCCTGCAGAGTGCCCCGCACCCTGGCCTGTCAGTCATGTCAAAAACCAGGACTGAAGGGCCTGAGTCCCAGTGAGGAGCTACTGTGAGGTGGAACGTTGGCTGGGGTGCGCGTGTGCGTGTGTGCGTCTAATCCCTTTGGGCAGCGGTGACAAAGTACTAGACTGGGGGGATTAAACAATAGGTTTATTCCTCACAGTTCCGGAGGCTGGAAGTCGGAGATCAGGGCACCAGTGTGGTCAGGTGAGGGTCCTCCTGTGGGTCTCAGATGGCCATCTTCTTGCTTTGTCCTCTCATGGCAGAAGGAGCAAAGGATCTTTCTGGGGCTTCTTATAAAAGCACTGATGCCACTCGTGAGGGCTCTGCCCTCATGACCTAGTCACCTCCCATAGGCCCCGCCTCCCAACACCATCACGTTGGGTGTTAAGATTTCACCCTGGGAATTTCAGCGGACACATGCTCAGACCATGGGAGTGTGTGTGTGTGTGCATGTGTGTGTGCTGTGCGGAGAGGGTGGCTCAGGGCAGGCTGAGAGCTGTTCGACACATGAGAATAAAGAACTTCAGAGCTGGCTGTGCTGAGTGGGCAACACGCTTTGGCCTGGGGGCATTTTGGTCACCACTGAGTCCTGGGGTGACTGTCATCTTGTTGTAGGTGTTGAAGAGACGGGCTGGGCCCAGGACTTGGAGGCCAGGACTTGGAGGCGGGAAGTTGGGAGACGCACAGTGCTGCCTCTCCTGCACTTTTCCTCCTGGCCGCCTGCCTGTGGGAGTTGTTGTCAGCTGGGTCAGGCAGGAAATTGGCCCTTCTCGAGAGGGCGTGTGTCTGCAAGCCTACTGCCTCCAACTTCCCTGCCCGGCGGGTACAGAATAGTCAGTCCCCTGTCCATGCTCTCGGTGGCCCCATGGTCCCTGGTGCTCTGCCCTGAGGGCATACCCATCTGTCCTGGGCGCTGGGGACAGCAAGCTGAACCTCAGGCTCCCTTCCTCTCTGGCTTCAGACCCAGCACCTGGTGCTTCACTCTAGCTTCTGTGGGGACTAGAAATGTGGTTCACCATCTCCTGTGGGTCAGAAAGTTCTAGACCAGAGGCAGCACAGTTTTCCAGGTGCTGTGCTGCAGGAGGAACGTCTTGGGAGGGGTCACGTGGCCCCCACTCTCCAGGGCTCAGAAGCTGCTAGTGCTGAGTAAAGGGGCTGCTGGTGATGGCAGTGTCAGCCTGGGCCTGGGTCGGAGCCCCCTGGAGGCAGGTCGCAGAGGCCACACCTGGAGCAGGGTGATAGGCACTTGGGCACCAGAGCACACAGGGCCTAGAAGCCCCAGAGAGGAGCAGGCTTTCTGAATGGGAGGGGAGGCTGAGGGAGGGTTTTGAGCTGAGGATCCCCCTGGCCTCTGTGAGGTACAGATGTGGGGAGCCAGGTGGGCTCTGGAGGGTTGGATGAAGTGGCAGGCAGGGACAAAGGTTGGATTTGAGAGGTTAGACAGTGGGTCAGGGAGCAAGGAATTGACCACTAAGCCTGTACTCGTGGCCACCGGTGGCTGGCAGTGTTTCTGCTCAGCATGGGTGGCAAAGCCAGGCATCGTCCAGCCGGAGGAGGGGGGCCAGGTGCCCTTGGTTCTCTAGTGGGTGGGGACAGATGGTTCTTCAGTGCAGAGCAGTCACCCTCCTGCAGGTCAGGCAGGCTCTACCACCAGGGACAGGACAAAGGAGGGAGGAGGGCAGGGAGGCCAGCACCAGGCACGTGGGACTTACCTCAGGTCTGGTGTGGGGGCTGCAGTGCCTGGGACAAGGGTCGTGAGGGGCAGTGGGCCCCACAACCGGCTTAGTATGCCCCTGCATTGGGGCGACAGGTCCAGGGGAGCTTGGAGACCAGGCCACTGAGTGGGGCCGAGAGCTAGGCACGAGCCCACCACCACTAGAGGCTGGACAGTGCCCAGTCTTGGAGCAGCTAGTGAGGGGCTAGGGACCCGGCCTGGACCCTACCCTGTGATGTGGGCAGACCCCACAGGGAGGAGGACACACTGAGAGGACCTCAGTCCCACCCCACACCCTAGAGCCCCCCTCAGCGGCTGGGCCTTGTGACTGGGCAGAGCAGTCAGAAAGCTGTGGCTGATCGACGGTTAGGGACAGTGCCCCGAGCATCTTCCCCAACGCCACTCTGACTAGAGGAAGCAGTGCCTTCTGAAGGGCTGAGGCCCCTCGCTGCCCCCACAACTCCCAGCCCTCTCCCGTTGCCCGGCCTCCGCCCTGTGTGCCTCGTGCCCTTGGCTCCCTCCTCCAGCCCGAGGGCTCACTCAGCAGGGGGCTTCCCAAGGTGGAAGGGGTGCAGAGCAGCCTCCCATGTGGCTTCTGAGACCATTCCCATGATCCAGATGAAGAACGAGGCCCTGAGGGCTGGCAAGCTTAGCCTGGCGGCCAGTGGGGACAGTGGCCTTCAGCCGTGACTCAGCCTGCTCACTCCAGCTGGGCTGGACTGGAGGGGCCCTGTTCTGCCCTGGCCAGGAGGCAGACCACAGCTCGGCATCCACTTTCAGCTGGGCCCTGGGGACTGGACAGGCCAGCAGTGGCCCTGTGGTCCCTGGAGATCCTCAGCCCAGCATGGAGGCCAGGGCTGAAGTGCCGCCTTTGTTCTGCCAGCTCCAAGGGCAGCCTGGAGCCCCCCTGGGCTTAGGTTTCCCATGATTCGTGGCCCTGGTGGCTGGGCCTCTTGCCTGGAACTGAGCTCTAAGCTGTGGCCCCCATCCGGGAACCTCCACAGTGCTCACCCTGCTCTGTGCAAGGCTGACCCTTAAAAGGGGCAGAAACATGAGCGGGCAGGAGGAATGGCGGCCAGGTGGAAGTGGGCTTGGGCATAGGCTGGCAGAGAGAGGCTGCCTTCCTAGCCTCCGGATGGCGCTGCCCGTCCTGCCAGCCCGATGCCAGGCCTCCAGCCTGCCAGGTCAGCCAGGGGAGAAAGGTGGAAGGAGGAGGTACAGACCTGCCGTTGCAACGCGGGTCACCCAGGCCTCACCCGCGGCTGGCGCCCATGGCAGCCACCTGCTCAGCAGTGCAACCTTCTCTCTCGTGGGCGTTTCCTCTTGTGCCCTCAAGGCTACTGGCTGACTCTGGAAGGCCTCTGGGCAGTGCCTCAGAGAGAGATTTAGCAGCAGCAGCCATTGGTCAGGGGCACCACTGGGCCAAGTTCATGTGCTGGGACTCTGGCCTCTCCCCTGTCCTGCCCAAGCACCTGGGGGCCTCAGACTCCAGGGCTGTGTTCCCCAAGGACCATCAGAACACCCTGGGCAGGCCCGCACATCGACCAAGAGTAGGGGAAGGAAAGGAAAATGTTCCGGGCCCAGAGCCGCAGGCCTGTACACACCTACTCCCTGCTCCTAGATAAATGGAAGCACTGCCCCCATACCCCCCAACATCATTCCCAGAGTAATTTCCGTGAGACGGGTCCTAGAACTGTGCACCCACACCGCACACCTGGAAGCGCCTTCCCTAGGCCCCAGGTCACTTTCAAGCCCCTCAGGCATGTTTTCTGCCCACAGCTCCTGGGCTCCGGCTGCCCCATGTCCTCGGGTCCCGGCTGCCCCATGTCCTCGGGTCCCGTCCCAGGAAGCCTTCCTGAGCCCCTGATGTCCCTCTCCGTCGGGTGTCTTAGTAAAGCCTGTCTACGGGGACGGGAGCCTGGACTGAGGCCACAGCTGTGCCTGGTGAGGAAGCAGGTGCTCCTGTTAGCTGGGACGGGAGCTTTGGACATTTCTGTGGCTTGGACAATGTTTGGATGTTCCATGCGGATGTCTGTGTTCCGACATGATTACGGAGGGGTCTTGTTTCTGTCTTGATCCTTTGTGGTCCCAGGGTGGCCTTGTCTGAGATTGGTGTTCCGTGAAATTATTTATGTCCACAGGAGGACACCCAGGCCCAGCTGATGCCCCAGGCCGGCTTCCCTCTGCCAGGGGCCTCTCTCGCAGACGTTTCCATTATTTTCCCATTAAGCATGGCTTTTGGGTTGAGACAGACAGTCTCTCCTGTTCACTGCTGAGCACTCGGAGAAGTGAACATTAGCCGGTGGGCTGGGAAAGAGCAAAACTCAGAGAACGACCTTTAGGGGGTGGGCTGTGGGTGATTTTCCTCTTTTTTTCTCCCAGATTTGACCCAAGGATGGCCCCAATCTCTGGAGCTGTGTGGCCAGTATTGGGGCAAGGACTCCAAGAGAGGCCTGGGAAAGGGGGGCCCTGTGGGCCCAAGAGTAGGGAGGATCCCCCTGGGCTCCCAGGATTCAACGCTGCTTTAATTCTTTATTGCTTTGTCTTTCATTCTGTGAGCCAATTGGCTTAAGTCCGATTTAGTTTTCTGTCACTTGCATGCAAAAATAAACAAATGTAGACATTTCCCTTATACCCCTATTCTACATATGCGTAGCCTTCCCCATCAACAACATCACTTAATGTTTTCTCTCTTTGCTCTAATTTTCCCTGAGGGTGGCCCCAGTT